ATAAAAGTGCTTCGTGGGCCAGTTTATCTTTTCAGGCTGTCTCATAAATTATATTAGCGATTTGCCAAGAATAAATAGAAAACAATCTTGTTTTGACTTATTAAAAAATTTCAAAGTCTTTTATGGAGGTTTCCTCCATTTAAATATAATAATATGAGTTATAATAAATGTATTTTATCTTTTGGAAAGTATAATCTTAACACTTTTATCCTAACATTATTATAAAATTTTGGTAATTTTAATTAAAATTATATTAAACATGACGAAACATATTTTTAGAGATAAATCGACTGCCAGATAAAACTTAACAATAGACTATTGTTAAGTTACTGTTTAGTCTCTATATGAGATTTTCACATTTGCTCGAGACAAAGAGATCATAAAGGGATATTTTCGTCATATAAGAGATAAAAATCTCTCGTCGCATAAGGTATTTCTATTCTGTAACATTTTGTTAGAATGTATTTTTGAGATTTATTTTATTAAATTAAAAAATTAGGCCATATGCATATTTCAATTAACATATGCATTTTTTAGAGAGGAATTTTTAATTGCAACAAATATATAATATTGAAATAAATTGTGTGAATATTGTTAGAATGATGCGAAAGTCATTCATTCCCTCTCCTTTTTCTCTCGCATTCATAGGCCTCGAATTGTTAACATAATCTTTCACGCATGCGACATCAGTGAGAATTTTACAGTATCAAGTTTATCAATTATCAGTTTGCAAATAGCTGAGCATATTATCCTCATATCGAACCTCATCGTACATAATTGTGAATAATTCCACTCTTCCTGATCATAGCAGGATCTGATAAACCACGCAAGTGACCAAACCCTGTCGCCTTTACTTTAGATGACTTTCGTTCTGTTCGTCTTTTGAATGTAAAAATCGTAAATGTAAAAATAGAGTTACATTTGCAGCAACAGTCGACGCGTGGGATTTATCGGATTCCTTGGCAAGACTGTGCGTGACCAGGGAAAGTTGCTCACTCGATTTATCAAAAGGAATTGTTACCATTCTAATTAATGGCGATTAACATGTATTTCAATGAGTAGTTCGAATCTTACAAGTATTCTCCATTCAATTATTTTTTTGCAAATAAAAGTATGTTAGTTTGACGGGACATTAGTTCCGTTATACTATAGGCAATAAAAGAATATTATTCTCATTATGCTACAATCGACAAACATCATTCACGAGTCTCATATCATATCGTTCTACTTGGAATTGCATCGTGAATTCGAGAAGAAATATAATTTTCAATATACGAAGAAAAAATTATGAAATTATTATTCATAAATTATTTCTTTCTTATATCAAGAATTTTATTCAATATGAATAAGATTCTTGATATGAAATAAATCGTACAACATTTATATATAAAATAATGATTTGTTAAATTGTATAAAACTGTGTAATATTGCGTTATAAAAAATAAATAAAATATAGGACATAATTAATTGATAAGTTTGTTAGAAAAATTGAATTTCTTATTTTGGAATTCACAAGTTAGATAAGAATTTATTTATTATGACACACATATTTTATTTCCTATGAGATTATTAATTAATTTTGCTAGACAGTAAAAGAATTAAAACAAAAATTAACTAATTAACTAATCGTTTATTTAAAGAAAGAGATCAACTTTACATGTCGATCTACCGATCGATTCATCCATTTTTCTGTTGTACACATGATCTGCCGTTAACGAACATGAATCTTCTTTGCATTTTGCATCGCTCGATATTTACATCTCATGATTTCATAGTACAAATTTAATTCTACGCTTAACCAATACTTTTTTGCCGATCATTAATTGTAAGTAATAGTATATGTACGGCTGGATCTCGTGTCTCGTCGAAGGATCTCTGGCGGAATGGTCTCTCTCGCTTATCTCTAGATCGAGATTAAACGGCACGAGAATCAGTAGTGAATATCTAGAAAAGATATACTTTAAAATCGAAGCGAACGAAATTCTCGTGTAAAAACGATGTATATCAAACGGATCGAAGAAACCATTACATGTATTACTAGCACAGAGTTTTGTTTCCTAAGAGTCGTTTTCTCTTACGATCGCTTCTTGTCAATTAGGCATTTGGAAGTTGACCCGCATGAGGGATAACTACGAAACTATAGTTGATCGCAGGTCTTTCCGTCCGCGTGACGTGTATTGCAACGTTATATAAAACAATGTTATATAAAAACAAAATGTGGCGCAATAAAATAAAATACTACATGGAAGGTACGTCTCTGTAAAAGTAGTCGCAACGAAGCTACTAGTCTGTCGCAACAATTTTATTTTAGCTAATGATCTTGATCAGATCAATATGCCTTAATAATATTCGCTGCTGCAGATAATAGGAAGTTATGATTAATGAGTCATGTAAATAAATGTGCAATAAATTTATCAAAAAAAAAATCATCTAAAGATATTATAATTTATAAAATACATTATATATAATTATAATATAATTTATATATAATTATAATAAGTATAATTATAATATGTATTATTATTATTACTATTATTATTATTTATATATATTTATATATTTTTTTATAATCGTATCAAAACATTTTCTTAATAAAAAAAGACATTAAATTCTATGAAAACATATATGCATGAGAAAAGAATACTTATTATATATTAATTAATATTATATAATATTTTATATATATATTATATATTATATAATATATATTATATAATATATATTATATATTAATTAATATATTATAATATTTTATAATTAATATTATGTATTAATTATAAAGTATTTATAGTTAATAATAAGTATTTGCCTCACTTTTATTCACATGGCTCTTTATTTTTTCAGGCATAGTTTATCGCTGCTGTTTGTGAGATTAATCGAGCAGAAGTATAGAATAATTACAGCGGTTGTCAATTAAAAATGAAACGAAACGTCGCGTGACCCTGCAGAGAACGCACGTATAACAACGGATATATCGGAGGGGGACGCACGAAACAAGTATTGTCACACCATTCATCGATACAAATAGCAACAGTGATAGGCGATAGTAACAATGTATATATATATATATATATATATATATATATATATTTATAAATACAGGCAGCGAATATCCTAACTCTTCAGAGGCTTTCTATCAACTACAACATAACCGAAGCGAGTTCTTTATGCGGTAACAACTAAAAATTAATATATATATATTTGTCGCATAAAATAAGGTGGAAAACACTCAGCGCATTTAAAATAAATTCTCCAAAGTGAGTCACGAAATAATGTCAAAGTCAAATTTAAATTAAAAAATTCCTTTTTTATTTTTAAATATTAGAGTTTCATAAAAAAGTATATATATTATTTTTTATAAAAGATAAAATCTTATTTAATAAAATATTTTAAAATAAAATAATTATAAAAAAAATATATATATACATAAATACACGTATATAAAACATGTTTGCACTTTAGTTTTAGTTGCCAATTTCTTTCCTTTCTACCAATTTAGTTGATTGCCATTTTTTCTTCCTTAAGATCCCGTAAGATTTTAGGAAAAAAAATGATAATTCATAATAACATTATTTAATTAATTAATAATAGTTTAATAAATTCTTATTTTTTAATGCCTTTAGTTTTGAAGTTTAAAAATAATATAATTTTTAAAGTTATTATTATTTAACTATATTTTACGTAATTATTTTACTTCTTATAATAATTATTGTGTAAGAAATGTGATTTTAATTTCATGATATGAATTTATATAGACTTATAACATTTCGTGTCTCTTATCAGAGAGCGTCCGATTAAAATGGAATGAAATTGACCTGCGAAGAAGGAAAAAAAAAAGGAAATAATCGGACGACGCGATACGAATCGTAATTAATATGATTGTCTCTTGCTTCTTGCAAAAGGCTTGATTATGGCTTGACAACGCACGTGCTGGAGCTTTAAACTTGACTAGAACTGAACGAACGTGCGAAGAAATTAGATACATAATTCTATCCTTCTCTGCTTTTAATCTAAAATTTTATTTATTTATTTATTTTTCATAGAAATATCGACATCGCCAATTTTTCCGCCGTCGTCTCTTCTCGCAGGGCCGGGCGATTCGCAAATATCTTGCAAACATTACGCTAATTATTGAATATAGGTATATAAAACATCGCGATTCTCTTATTCTAAATCAAATTTTTAAATATCATGTATGTTGAATCACTTGTGTATCTCGTTTTTGAAATATATCTCACGGAATATTTATATAATTTGTATTTTGCGTTTTAAAAATAAAACTTTACAATATATTTTGCCCAGCCCGTTTAGTTTTCGATCTTATATCGCGAACATTTTCCGTGTGTCTCATTACATGTGAAAAAAGTATATCACATGTAACTATATAATAAACTTTTTCCCAAGAATAAAAAATGAAAAGAAAGAAAAGAAGATTTTTGTCATTCACTCCCGCCCCTTTATAGTCACAATCTTACGATTCACAGCAAAATCTCATGTTGTGCAAACGAGGTACGTGCTTTAAACGCGTCGTATTTCGAACTGAATAAGACTATCAGTCTTTCCTTTTAGAAGAGAAATCAGCACACGCATAATACGCGTAATACATTATAATAATAACGCATCGTTGAAGAACATATAAACCTATTAACGCGCAACAGGCGCGTAATCTCATTAATATTACTTATTATGACAGATCATAAAATAGCGATATCTCATATCATTGCAGGAAACATTTCTTCTCAAAGTTTTTGCGGTAAACGAAGGTAACTGTAACTTTTACTTAGCTTCGTTTCGCTTACTTTGAAGAAGGATGTTTTGTAACAGATGTTAAGATAACATTTCGCATTAATGGAAATCTCAGAGAAGTTTTAGCGACTGATTCTCGAATTGCGCGATTAATCGCGGCATCGAGGTTTCAATCATGACTCACGAGAATAAAACGGTTCAGAGCTCTACCTGCGTCACACATCTATCAAAAGAATGTATATGCATAGACATACCTATATTTGTTCATTTTTGTTCCAATCCCTCGCTGTACAATCATCATGACAATTCCGACGAGAATGTCGGGTCACGAGTTTAAAACTTTGACGCACTGTAAATACATTACGTCCAGATTGAATTATTAGACTATCGATAAAAATAAGCTTCTGTAACGGTTGCATGATGTTGTCACGCACTGCACTTTGCGATTCTCACCAACGTCATCGAAAATCCACGTACGATAAGACGGATGATAAATCGGTTTCCAGTTAATCTCCGATAATGTTCCTCTTCCAACTTCTCTCTTCTAAAGTTAACTTATGATCAGCATATGTAAAATCTGCTGATGTATTATGTACAAGTAATCTTCGGATTCGCGTGCGAATCCATGTTGTGCGTCGCAATAGCCTTAATAGCGATGATGATGACGAGGAAAATGATGATAATGATGTCAGATTCTTCATCGAGTACTTGTTCATCTTTGGTTGGGGCAATGTATGTTTGCTTCGTGGATTTTCAGACACTCGTCACAGAACTTGTTTTCACACACATGTCCGCTTAAAACAGAGTATTTAGAACAATCTAATCTTGCTTATGCTTTTAAATATTATGACACAGATTCGTCGTCAGCCAAATTGTGAAGATCTGAGTAATTCACGATAGCGCGATGAAGAAACTCGTATTGCGCCTGTAACATGCATGTGCAATAATAAATGTTATGGAAAACAAAATTATAATATGTGGTATCTAATTACAATTATTCTTAAATCTATAATCTGATAGATAATAGCATCATCAGTGAATAGCAAAGATTCTTTGCTCTCATTTTTTTATACATAAATTTCTTAATATAAAAAGAAGAGCAATCATCATCGAATTACTTACGAAAGTGCTGATCATGCCATGTCGCTGAGAGCGCAATTTCTTCGTCGTCGTGAAAATATCCACGCGCTTCTCGGTGCGCAACTGCTGGACTAATATGCTAAGCGCAACGAACATGGAACTCCGATCTGATCCGTAACTGCAGTGCACTACCAATGAACCATTTGTCTCGGTGTCATTCGTCAGCGTCTGATCCACCAGCTCGATGAGACCGCGTGTTACTTCAGGTACTTCGCCTTCCACCGTTGGCCAGCCGTGATACTGATACTGCTTTACGACCCCGTTTTCATCAGTCTTAGTATTCACAATGTTAAATTCACGACGCGTGTAGTACGGACAACTTTCACTGTGTATATAACGGACTTGTATATGATCGTAATTAGTCTCATCATCTGGCCAGTAGCGTGGACATTTTCGTGGGCCTTCGTTTAACTAGAAAAGATATTAGTTGTTTTATATGTATCCTATATACTTGTGATGTTATCTTACAATCCTGAATTTAAAATTTAATTATTCTTTCTAAGAAAATATATATTTATAGTTATATCTTATATTATTAAGATCGGGGACTCTGTCTTTATCTTTTTCACCCGATTGTACAGAATTTGATATTTTTTTATATCATAATAATAATAATATTATACAGTACGAGAAATCTTACTTTTAAAGAGAAATTGATCGCTTATTGAAGAAAATCATTTATACTACATCAATTATTCAGATTTCATTTAGAGTAACGTATTAACAAAAACTTATTACAAACAAAAAGTTTATACAGGAAAAAATATATCGTGCATTAACTTCTTAAAAATTTTTTGTATGAAACTGCATACCAAATATTGTATTAACGCAATATTCATACATTTATATATAAATTCTTGTAAAAATTAGACAAATCTGAAAATGCATTTTTTTCTTGTTAAATGTAATAAATAAAAATAAGAGAAAAATAAAAATCAGAACAAATAAAAATAAAACATATAAACTTACATCAGATAACATGACTATTGTGGAAATACATTGTTCCGAGATCATTCGCCAGAAGTCCGTTATAGTAGTTTCTAGTGGATCCTGCGTAATGACAAACGACTCCGAATTATCATAGCCTTCGATGAATGATGCGTTAATGTACGTCGAATGTTCTCTGCCTGGGACGGGGGTGAGAATTACACGATTTCTATCGTATGGTATCACCAGTTCGCTTCTATTTTTTGTTCTATTCTCCTCTCCGCCGCCGACGGAGAAAGATTTACGATCTTCCAATACGGAACTGATTTTCTGCAAACAATAATTATATATATTATATAACATGAAAAAAAATGTTTATTTCGAAATTGTATTAAGAGAATTGTATTTTATACTTCAGTCTTTATATTCTCTTCACATTCGAATATTTTAAATATATTTACTATACATTATATTCTTTTGGTATAATTGGTTTTTAATCCATTCAATACACAAATATAATAAGTTATTAAAGCAATTGGAAGTTTAAAACAAAAACAAGGCAAAATACTGATGTAAATAATATTTTTTAAAAAATAATTTTTATATTTTATCTTGTAGATTATTTTCGAATAAAGAGACTAAATGTAAAAAAAAAATTAAAAATTATATTGAACAATTGATGAAATATACTTCAAGTAAAAATTTTAATTAATATAATATAACATACATAATATTTAAATAAATAATATATAAATTATTAAAATATGATTTATAAATTGTTTATGTATTTAGTCACATATTTTATTTAAAGCCTTCAAATTTCATGTGACTTGTATTGTAACTTACATCGTATTCCTCCTCCATTCTACATTTTTCCTTGCCATTGTCTCGCTGCCTGAGTTTGGCAACTGTGGTCTTGAGTTGTGATGCTGGAATTTCCGTATCACCATATTGCGCCATTTCCATGAGCGCACGATAGATAAAGATGTACTGTTTAAGAGATTGCACGAGAAAGTTGCGCTGGTGCCGTAGATCGCATACAGTGTTGAAGATGGACACCTGACTTTCCTCAGCCAGCTGTTGCAACAAAGAATCCAATGCCACGAGCGTACCAGTGCGGCCTACACCGGCACTGCAATGCACCAGGATCGGTCCTTTCTCGAGCGAATATGCCTCGTTAACACGTTTGATGAAACGTAGGATCGCATGAGGATGTTCAGGTGCAACGAAGTCCTTCCATACGAGGAAGTGATACTGCACAATCGCGCGGGAATCGCGCTCACCTAGTCGTGTCATCTTCAGCTCGCGCACCACATAATCCGAGTAGGCGCGTTCCTTGACATGCTCTACCGTGATGTCACCAAAGTTCTTAGTCTCACGCTTGTCCGGCCAATACTTGGCGCATTTCGTCTTCGAGTACTCTTCGAGATTCGTTAGCATGAGTATTAGTTCAAGATGTTGCTCCCAAATCATACGCCAGTAATCGCACACGGTGTTCTCCATTGGGCCCTGGGCGCAGATAAATTTCTTGCGCTCTTTATAACCCAACACAAAGTTGGCGTTGATGTAATCAGAGCCGCAGATACCATCCATCTGAGCCAGACGCACTCTCGTCTGATCGTAACACTTGATATCTGGATAACGATTCTTGTAAAGATTCTCCTGTGCCTCGGATGCACGCGTCGTTCTATCTGTAAATCGGTCGGGTAAGAGTTCGAATTCGTGTTGGAAACCATAATCCGAGTCTCGATGGCGTTCCAAATATGCCTGCAACAATTCATTCTTGGGTATTGGCGGCATATCCGGCGGACTCGCTGCTACAAGCTGATGCCTGCTTCTCAGGCTTCTACAGAGATGTCTATAAGAGAAAAAACATTCATTAAATGTATATTGCTGCATTTTTTGGAAAGTATTTAACAATATTAATAATTCCTACGAGATATATATTTTTATAATTTATTTTGTTTTATGTTGTATTATATTTTTAAATTTTTATTTTAAAAGAAGAAGGTTTTTCATGATATAATTATTAAATAAGAAGCATCTATTATAAACGTACAACTTATATTATTAAAATAATCTACATAATATGAAATATTTTATCAAAATTTATCAGAATATATTGCACAATTTTTGTTATCTTTTAATAGGTAAAAACTTCTCTAATTGAGAAAAAAATTGTTCTTTTTTGTCACTCACCTGAAACTATTGCGCAGTGTTATGACTTCTTCTCTCTCTTGCGAACGTTTTGTAAATCTATATAGTAAGCAAAGTGCGATAAACAGAATCGTAAGGGTCAAGATAAGAGCGATGAAGAGTTGTATTATCATTTCTTTAATAGTAGTCGCCTGCGCGGCTGTTACGCTAAGAGGATCCACTCCACCATAAAGAGGATTGAAATAGTTGCTGTAAGCTGCTAGAAGCTGATCCCTCTGACTATCGTATACTATAAAATATCAAATGCATTATTAAACTTGTAACTTTTATGATAAGTATTCTACACGAATTTATCGATGATACGCACCGATAACTTCGATAAAACCAGTATAATTCGACGTTTCGTCAAGAAAGCCGTCGTAAGGTAACAATATATTGGATTCCCCACTGGATCCATCCACAGATGCCTTTTGAATGGGCAAGTCCTCTCGTTTCCGTCTCTCCGCTTTTTCAGTTGCATTAATAACCACCGGAATTGCCGTAGTTATGTCTATTTTCGCAGCAGTGCTGATAGTAGTTATTGCTGACGCGGTGGATGAGCTGGTAATCATGTTACCGCTGTTGCTGCTGCTTGCAGTTGTCGTCGATGATAACGTAGTTGTTGAAGTGATAGTGGTAGTGCTGCTCGCGTTGATTGAAACAGCAGTGGATGGGATTTCCGGGACAAAATATAACTGTGGTGCTGGTTTGGGTCTCAAACCGATGCACTTGTCGCACATCATGCCGCCCTTGGATGATTGACCGTCGCCGAGAAAGATCTCGCTCAACAACTGATCACTTTCGAATGTCTCGACGATATAAGCACCACCGCTCGGCGACTTATGGACATACTGATAAGAATACACCGAGATTTCTTCGGGCGGCGGCAGATCACGGACCATTCTCTGCAGCGATAGTTTCACCACATAGATGCGATAGCAGCAGATAGGGCCATTCCGCTCAGAGATACGCGGTAGATAGAGTTTGAACAATTGTCGACCCTGACTTTCGACCTTTCGCCAGGTGCGCAAATTCATGCTCTCGCGATCTGGAACCGTGACCGGTGTCGTGCAATTTCCTATGGCGTCCTTGCCAGGAGTGCGAGACCTAGTTACTCCGTGTACCCGAACCTTTAATAATTTATTATTAAAAATTTATATAATTTATTTTAAAATTTTATTTTAAAATCAGATTAATTAACTTATGTACCGTGTAATTTGTATTGGGAGGTATTTGATTGTATCGCGTGTTATTCCTTTTATAAACGCTCCAACTGGGTGGTTCAAAGTTATCAATATCTAAACGTCCCATGTCGTTTTTGTACTTCGCCACGCCGTTCAATTGTATATTGTAGCGCTGTATAATGCCATTCGGCTTTTCCGGAGGTTTCCACGTAATGGACATGAAACTGGAGCTGCTTATATTGTCATAGCGGCAAATAACGACGAGATTTTTCGGAGGACTAGCCACTATAAAAGAGAAAAGAATTTAGAGGCGATTTTATCACACTTAGCTCAAAATATATATTTTTTTACGTTTTTATATATATATATATATATATATATATATATTTTACCAATTACCTCCATCCAATGTCGTGCCATTTACTTCAACGCTCCAATTGCCACATTGCCTCGTGTATTCGCTGCAGGCGGCTATCTTGAATTTATACGTGGTCGCCGGATCGAGATTCACGAACGCGTACACGGTGAACGGTTGAGCAGGATACACCGCTTCTCTTTTTTGCTCGGCGTGAGTAGCTATCAAATTATAATAATGCACGTGTTCCTTCAAATCCGACGGCGGTAGAGTCCAACCTATCGTGATCGAATTCTCTGTCACGCCATTCACGGATACTTTCGGCACAAACACCGGGTCTGTAATATATTTGTTATGCCATATTAAATAAAATAATATAAAATTATATTTTAAATGTATATTTACATGTTTTTAAAAAAGAGCTATTTTATACATTTCTTGCCACAATTGTAAGAAAAAAGATTATAACATTTTTAATGACTATATATTAATAATTTTAGGATAATTATTTCAATTATCAAAATTAAAGATTATCAAATTAAATTTAAATTATTTAAATTTGTTAAACTAAAATTCAATATAAATACTGAATAATAAACTAAGAGAAGAAATTTGCGTTATTCTTTACTAAAATACCTTTTTCAAGCGTAGTGATCCATCGTGGATCCAATTGCATATACGATGAACCTACGGCATTGGTAGCACTGATACCGATTTGGTACGCGGTCCCACTTTCGAATCCCTTGAGAACATAACTCGAATTACCGCCGCCGATCTGCTCAGCGTAGTACTGTCGTTGATCTGTACCGTTCTTCATATGCTGAATAAAGTATTTCTTGATCGGTTCATTACCATCATTGACGGTCCAATTTAAAAATATACTCCCAGCGCCGACCGCTTTCATGAAATCTATGCTGACTTTAGGCACATCAATGACGAACAAATGTGCCACGGCGCTCACTATCCCATTGTAATCGTTCGCCTGACATACGTACGTGCCATTGTCCTTACGCGCCAGACTCTTAAACTCCAAGATTAAGACGGCATAGGTTTCATTTATCCATGTGACGGCAGTAATATCCTTCAAGTGCTCGCTGCTCTCTGAATCATTCCCTTTTAACCAAGTAAATTGAGATAATGGATAACCATGTATGTGGCACGTCAAGTTTGTCGCTTCCATTACTTTCGCTCTCACATCCCCGCCAGATGTTATTTTGCCGGGTTCTGGAAGAAATGATATTTTAAGAGATGATTATTTTATCGCACAATCCTAAACGAGAGAAAGATATTTAAATTAGCAGGTTCATATTATATACCTATCACTCTGATATGAATGTTTTTCTCGAGCGATTCGCCGTCGATGGTCTGGGCGGAACATTTGTAGTCGCCTGTATCGTTCCTACTGGCCTTCTTTATATCTAATCGTCCAGCGTTCACGAGATTGTCCTTGATGGTAGTAAGATTCCTGTCATCGGTGCTCCACCAGACGTAACCTGGCACGTTGAGCTCACATATTAGCGACGGTGTGCTACCTGCCTCTATGCCCTCCATATCCTGGGATGATCGGATTTTTAGCGACGCTGTCCACTTTTCGGTTTTCAATTCTGATTCCAGTTTATTTATATCTACCGTAGAAAAATATATCATTCTTCATAAATATAAATTTTTTTTAAACATTTTTTTATATAATAAAACATATATATACTACATATATATACTACATATATATATTATATAATAAAATCAGAGATTTCTCAATTTGTGGTATATAAAAATTTATTTCCAAGAACTCTTATTTTTTTATAGAATAATTTAACAGAAAAGACACGAACAACATGTACATAATTGGATAAATTATAATTCTAACTCAACTATTCATTTTAAAAAGCTAGATAGATCGGCACTAAATAGTAAACATGAATGTTTCTTGCGTCGAAGATAATTGTCAGTTAGCTGGAATTAATTAAACCGGAATTAAGTTCTTCGCCGAAGCGTGAAGCGAGTTCTCTCTGTCCGCTTATGAGTTATTTGACTCATTGGACGGGACAATGATAGTCACACTTTCCTCGTTTCAAAAACAAGATAATAATAGATGGAATATATATATATATATATATATATATATATATATATATATTAATAATAAAAAAATAGAAAATTCACAATTATTTTATAAAGCTTTCTAATAATTTCTAATAGTTGTAGATTTGTAAAAAATTGTATGTCTAAATATTCAACTTATCAATTTTTTATTCATTATTTAACGTTTTATTTTAAAGAAATTTTTTTTGGAATATTTTACATTCTATGAATTTTTTATATATTCTTTTTTTAATATAAAGATTATGATTCGGATTGTAACAACTTTAATTTCTTATTTTATTTCAGTTTCATTTATTTTCATGTTAAACTTATTAAACTTCTTCTGATTATCTTTATCTTTTGGATGCAATTGCTGGACCTACATTCTTTGATTGCGTATATTATTACATCATACATCACACAAGTAGTCATATCAATAATAAACAATATAACAGTCATATCAATAATAAACAATATAACAGTCTTAAAGTATAATTCCATTAATTTTATTAATATAAATATGGGATTTTTTTTGTAAAATTTGTGTATTATTCCTTCCATTTTTTCATATCATTGTATAATTATCACACATGTGACTTAATTTTTATTGCAATATAATAAAATTATTGTAATCTAATAAATTATTGCAATCTAATAAAACTATTTTTTCTAAATCTTATATAATAATAATTAATATAATAATATAATAATAATTAATCAAAATACGAGGCAATTAAATATGTTATAAGTGATTATTGATTATTGGATTATGTCAATGACCATTGCCGCAATCAGAAACTAATTTATTTTATTTACAGATATCCTATATCCATTTGTGACTTAATTAATAATTTTATACATATATATATATATATATATATATATATATATATAAAATCTTTTTTATTTTCTTTTAATAACCATTTGTGACATACTTAATGACTTTCTCTCGTATTATATAAGCATGTATAAAATGTTTTTAAAGTCTTGCAATATCTGATGATGAGGCAGTAATGGATCTGAACAGTCCAACCGAGACAGATAAACGGAACGTGCTGCTTCGTAGCACCCACATTTCGGAAATGGAAAATAGTGACAGCGGTGAATCGTTCCCGCGTTGGGAACAGCGTTAACGATTGACGAGGAAGTAGCAAAAGCGATTTGCGGAAGAATAATGGAAGCGGTTTGCGGAGGAGCAGCGGAAGCGGCCGGCGAGAGAACTTCGTGATAATTTTTCTCGACAACCACCTGACACATCATCGATGCGAAAAACCGTGCACATCATGAATGGATCGATTATAATTTCGGTCGACTTGATTGTCTACGCGAAAAGGAGGTCGTGGATGGATCAGATTAATTAAATAGCGACGAGTACACTCGGTTTCGAGATAAATGTTAACGTCAGCTGGAATTAATGAACCAGAACGTTGGTCAAATTTTATTATATTAACAATAGTTTAATTTGTAGTAATTCTAAATCTGCTTTTGCCACGTTTTTCGTAGATTTAATATATCTCTAAAATATTGACCAATTAAAACATTATAAAATATTGAGAATAAAATATGGTGTTTTGTTAATTGTAAGTATAACTTTTAAACGACGTACAAAACGAGAAAAAAATTACGAACAATTATGATTCTAAATTAAGATTCTAAAACGATTTTAAATCGAGATGTCATATCAGCAATCTCTTTTACCTTAAAATTACGTGACAGATTGTTTTTCCAAACTACATTTATATATACATTTTCATGATTTCGATTACAGATAAAATTATTGCTGTTACAAACAATTACAAATATGCTATCATCTTCCGTCTTAAAAAATTAATCTATTAAAAACAGAGTATCAAATTCACGTAGCAGATACCAGCGCCAATCCATTATCGAAATTCAATCCTAAACGTTAGCCTTTCAGATATACATACATTTTCCCCTTCTCTACCCCCATTTTTTACAAAAAAAAAAAAAAACAATCTAATGAGTGAGCAAAAATATTTGCAAATATTAAAATCCGGAAGCTGTAACAATTGCGAACGGAATCTTTATCGGCATCTTTAGATTCGCTCACGAAACGATAGACGAAAGAAAATTCACGCGTAGATCCGATCGAGGATATTGTCCAATTCGAACGTCTAGTGGACAACAACTGAAGAGAAACAACGATTTTGAAAATTCGCCGTTCGATATATACAGTCTCCAAGACGCTTCTCACGCTGACTCTCGTTACAGCGCGCCCTGTCCTTTCCGCCCTTTCTTACCAAGAAAAGACACGCGCCGTCTGACTGGCTGACTCACCGGATTCGAGGCCGGCCGCGCCGAGCACGAGGAGGCAGAAGAGCAGCGGCGCCAGCGACCGCGCGCCCGACGTAACACCGCTGCCCCTGTTCCGGGATAACATGGCGGTCGTGATAGCCGGTCGGACGGGTATGCGCATCGACGTCGGGTCTTCGAATTCGCCTTTCCCGGCCTGGGTAGCGCCTGGGCCACCCCCCTTCTCTCGCTGACCCTGCCCTTCCTACGCCCGCCGTCCTCGTCCCTGCGTACGGCGATCCTCTCCCTTCTCGGGAGCACCGTTTCCTCGATACCGCCCTCTCACAGGCCCATGATGCACAGGTCCGAGATGCGTCGTCGCCGAGATGTGTGCGTTGTCGGTGATCGCGGGCGGCTCACTCGATCATTACTCGCGATACGAAGACGAGGATACACGTCGTGTCCCGGGTACGCGTTCCTGCGGAATTTATCGACGCGGGGCACTTTGACGGAATGCTGGCGACCGAACGGCGGATTACCTCCTCGCTTCGTAACCGTCAGTAATGGTGCGTCGGGGAAACTGTGAGAGAAACTGAATCACATCACGCGCAAGCCAACGCGCCGACGATAAACGATGACGCGAGGGGGAGCGGAACCGGCGGAACCTCTCTCTCTCTCTTTCTCTCTCGCAACCACTGTGCGCAATGACAGATGACAGCACCCTCTCGCAAAGATGACGCGGACCGCTCGCTATGTTTGTTTAGCATCTGTAGATACTTTAGACACTTGCCGATAAGATTCTTTTTTCCATTTCCTAAACTCGTTTCGGGTCAGCAAAGAGATAGAATTGCTGCTACCTAATTTGTAAGCAGAAAGCTTGAGAGAAAGGACAGGGCTATTTAAAGAAGTCAAATAGATCTTCCAATGGATGACACTTGTTACCTTGATTGCTTCTAAAATACTACATCAGCTGATACATCGATGCTGTCATCGTTGTTTATTATTTCCTTCGTTTGTAATTTTCCCTCAATGGTGACATTTTTGTTTGTCACACCATATTCTTCATACTCTCACTACACTTGCGATACACGAATAAATCAAAAAATGAAACACAGACGGTCGCTTGTTGCATCGCGTGAGATGTTTGATATCTGACGCGCGACGCGATATTTTGATCTTTCTCTGAAAAATAAATGAATGAACTACAATTTTGACAATTTCACGTCGATGAATGAATCGTAACATCGTCACTTAATTTCGCTCGATACGCGATAAATACAAAGATAAATGAATTTTTTGTCACAAAGTTGCCGCTATATATTTTAAAATTTATCATAAGTCATAGTCATAAACATACAAAAAGTATAGATGGCATCGTGAGATAGTTGAATGATATCTGATTGGCCACAGGAACTCCTGATTGATCAATCTAGTAAAAAAACCCTAAACACGGGATATTGTGATTGGTTGTGAGCGATCGTAACGTGGAGATGTTTATCTATTGTTATTTACAAGTCTATGGTTGTAGCATTAAGCGAAAGAATCGTGGAGCAGCGATGAAATTTATTCCACGTCGTCCCGTACCTTGTTTTGATTTTCGCAAATAGATTTATGCGAGAGAGACAATGGCAGAATTATTGTTGGATCCAAATATTCGAGGCTGGGTATTTTTACCTATAGTAGTAATCACTTTTCTCGTCGGTATAATCCGCCACTATGTTTCGATTCTGCTCGCTTCGCAGAAGAAGGTCGAACTTCATCAGGTGCAAGATAGGTAAACATTCATTTACATAATTATATGGATATCTAAAGTTTTTATTCACGAGAATATCATTCAACTATAATATTAAATATTTTGCAGTCAAGTCATGATACGCTCCAGGCTACTCAGGGAAAATGGACAATATATACCAAAAGTAGCTTTTATGACCAGGAGACATTTTTTTAATAATGAAGAGACTGGATATTTCAAGACTCAGAAGCGTGCTCCTGTCTCTCAAAATCCTATGACGGATCCAAATATGATGACTGATATGCTAAAGGGAAATGTGACCAATGTATTACCTATGGTACTAATTGGCGGTTGGATTAATTGGATGTTTTCTGGATTTGTAACAAGTATGTATTATATTTCAATATTGTTAAATATTTATTTGCATATATTTTGCATATTGTATATTTAATATTATAACTTGCTGAACTTTATGTAGATTATATATTATAAGAACAAATATATATTTTTCTTTTAGCTAAAGTACCATTTCCATTGACACTGCGTTTCAAACCAATGTTGCAACGAGGTATAGAATTAGTTACATTAGATGCAGCATGGGTTTCTTCAGCTTCGTGGTATTTCCTCAATGTATTTGGACTAAGATCCATTTATACACTTGTACTTGGTGAAAATAATGCCGCAGATACTACAAGATTAGTACAAGATCAAGTTTCGGGTGCTGCAATGTCCATGCCACCTGATCCAAAAGCAGCTTTCAAGTCTGAATGGGAAGCATTAGAGATTTGTGAACATAACTGGGCTTTGCAGGGAGTAGATGTCGAACTTGTGGGTATCCAACCAAAATCAGATACAGTTGACAATATATATCATCAAGGCAAAGCAAATTGAAGTTTAGTAATAAAATTTATTATGTAAATTCCAGAAAAATTTTATTTATATATTAAATAATTTTCTCACAGCGTTTATCTATTTAAAATATAATATATATTTTTTTTTATAAAAATAAAATCATAAAGTATAACAATATAGTTTGATTTTAAGAAATTGTGATAAAACAATCTCAAATATAAAATTAATAACGTATTATTTTACTCTAGATTTGTATTGGTTTTTATATACATATAAATCTATATATCAAAATTAATATATCCATTACTTAGACCCATTAATTACTTTAACTGTTTATTACTTTAACTGTTTCTACTTAGTAAATTCTTATGTTCATGTTAAGTAGATTCTTATCATTCCATACTGGGATATAAATCAATACGGCGATGCTTTTCGCATGGCATGTTTTTCCTGACTTGCTCCAATAGCGCAAGATCAATTTCTGCTATAGCAATACCCGTTTTTTCTGCACACTGTGCTATAACAGTGCCCCAAGGATCTACAATCTGAAAAAGAATAGATTCCAATTGTAGCTATGAATGTGTTATGAATTTTATTAATTCTAATTAATTAATAAATTAATTAATTAGAATTAATAAAATTCATAACACATTCATAGCTACAATTGGATTAATTTATAAGAGGAAACATATATGTTATTCACCATAGCATGACCCCAGCTCACTCTCTTTTTATTATGTGCGCCAGTTTGCGCCGCGGCTATGACATAACACTGATTCTCTACAGCTCGTGCTCGTAACATCACCTCCCAATGAGCGGCACCGGTTTGATATGTGAATGCCGACGGATAGGTGAGAATTTGCGCTCCCATATTCCGCAAAGTTAATGATAATTCGGGAAATCGCATATCATAACACTGATATCATTGTTAAGCATCAATATATGTTTTGTATCAGAGAAGAAAATTTGTTTTAAGGATACAATGCTCAGTGCAAGCTTGCCAATCGGTGTAAGCACAGGAGACACTATTTCGGTTCCTCTCAATACATAGTCTGATTCCATCAAACGTACTCCAGTATCCTTATTATCCATGTCAAACAAGTGTATTTTTCTGTATGCAGCTACCAAATGTCCCGTATTATTTATTAATATATGTGTGTTGTATATTTTTTCTGTATCATCTGACTAAAATAATTAGATAAAAAATGCTTTATATATTATTAAAAAAAAACATATATATGTATAAATTCATATAAAGAGAAACTAAAGTATTACAGCTTCATGAATTCCGCCTAAGGATAACCAGATGTCATTTTTAACAGCAATTTCTTTGTAAGATGTCACTGTCTGTCCAGTCAAAGGTTCAGCCATAGCGACAATATCCTTCTTATTATCTGCCAAATAATCACATGCTTCAGGGAAGAATGCTATCTATAAATATTTTATATATTTTTAAAACTTAAAAGAAATTATCATTATACAATACAGAATATTTAATATTATTCATTGATAAATATACATACTACAGCTGATCTACGTTTGGCCTCAGTTGCTAATTCAGTCACAACTTCTAAATTTTTTACTTTATCAGCTATTGATCGCATTTGACATACGGCAATTAGTGGATGTGCCATTGTGCTGATACAACGCTTGGTCCACTGTATACTAAAATGTAATAATTTTGTCATTTTTAAGCACAATGAAGAGAGATGAAACACTAAATAATTCTTGAATTTTGAGATTTCTTCAAGTATAATATAACAAAGTAAAATAGAGATCTATTCTCTACATATTTTTTTACTTATTTTGTGTATGTTATATATATATATATATATATATATATATATATTTTTTTTTTATCTAAAATTTGTGCTATCAATTTCTTACCTGTATTGTTGAGTGATAATGGACCAGGTGCGTCTCATTCTTATCGCATTTTTAATACATGTATGCTATCAAAAGTTTAAGGCCGGAATTCATAGTCCGATCTTATATTTATGATTGTCTTAAGCTCTCATTCCACCAATCAGTGGCTGCATTGTAGCTATTTGCCGGCCTAACTTATCTCTGGTATTACATATTATTCTTATCAACTTGCAAAGAGTTGACAATTTCTATGTATACATATAAAAAATTTTAGTAATGAAGAAGAATAGGTGTCTGTTACATTTACATTTTTCCTCTAAGTTTAGAATACATATCTATCAATATTTGTCATTTATTCTCAACAGAAAAATTATAACATATTTATGATTTACGATATGAATAGGCTATAGACTTATTCTATGGAATAGACTATTTATTATATTTATTATAACAGAGAGAACTATTTATTATAACAGAGAGACTATTTATTATATTTATTATAACAGAGAGAAAACTGAGATTGAGAAGTGTCACGATTTTGGATTTTGGATAATCAATACGCCCTCTATGGACATTAAAAACGTGGACATGAACTACGAAGCTAATGTCCACGTATCTTCTCAGGGGATAAAAGCGTGATACTCTTCTCTCACTCTTCTCTCTGTTTTGACAGATCTACTAATTTTGTAAATATAAAAGAAAAACTTTAATAATTTGTGTGCAATATAATTTAATTTATCAGAACCAGAAAAGTAACGACTGCTTGGTGTAAAGAATTTTAATAATTACTTATGTAAGTTTTATTCTATATCAGTAAGATATGTTTCTTTCAAATATAACCTTGCTTCTCTTATAACGTAATCAATACATTATACATTGTAATTAAATAATATTTGCGATTATTAATATTGTTAATTTTCTGATTTTATTCTATAATGTTAAATGGGCTTCATAACTTAATTTTTTGATATTACCTAAAAATATTCACATCCGTATCTTACAGTATTTATATAAGTTGGAATAAAGATTAATGCAGTTTTACAAAATTAGAAGTTTAATTATTAAACTACTTAATATTTAGGAGATAATCGCTTTTAATAAATTCTTATCTGAAGAAGATTAATCTTATTAATCTTATTAATCTTATTAAAAAAAAGAAAAATATATGTAATTATATGTAAATATATGTAAATATATGTAATATATGTAATTAGATTTTATCTTTAAAACCACTATATCACTTGATTAATTTTCCTTTATTTAATATATGTAATGTTATCTTGTTAATTGTTATCTTGTAATATTGTTAATAATTAGGATTCTTTAAAATGGAAAATGCAACATTTAAGTAATAACAAAAAACAAGAAAAGAGAATACAATAGGTTATATAGACAAAGCTCTCAAATCATGGCAGCCATTCGACATACTTTGCAAAGGGAAGTATTCACTCCTAGTGATGAAAAGCTGCTTAGTGTATGCTATGTGAGCAAAGCTTACAAGAAAAAGAAGATGAGCTTTTTATGCCTGGCTACAACGACAGATACACCAGGATCTCTTATATTATATCAAATAAAGAAGAATGACAAGAATATTTATAAAAAGAAACAATCATGGCCTCTGAGTGACATACAAATTGTAGATGGTGTTAAAAATGATTCCATGGATATAGAATTGCATATTGACAAAGTCTACAAATGGTCATCCACTACAGTACAAGAAAGGCGAACATTTATTAGTAATCTATATACTTATTCGTATAGTCTAGCTCAGAGGCCAGAATTTAAAAATTTTCCCAAAGAATGGTTGATTGATCCAATTGCATTAAAAGAGAGTGACAGCATCACATTTACACCTGGTATATTTATTACCTAATCTAATCAGATTAGAATGGCTGACATTTTAATATACATATAAAAAAATTTTAAATTCTTAATGTACTTTTGCATAATAGTGTAATAATTTTAGATCTTTTGGTATCACCTATTACTTCAGACTATCAATCTATCACTGAAAAGGAAGCTGCTGACTTAAAACAAATGATGGAGAATTGTGAATATGCTGTTTCCAATGCTGAACTTTTTATGGAAACTCTTTCAAAGGATTTATCTATTCTTGATGGGGTAAAATAATAACTTTTTTTATCACAAATACAGAAAATATTAAATTTATAATATTACTCTATAAAACTAATTTCATTATATCTTATATAGGAAAATGTGCACTCAGTTTTAGCATCAGAACAAAGAGTAACACAGCTAATGAACAGTATAGATGCTGCAATAATTGAAGCTTCTATTGTAGAAGCGCGATTAGCGACATATGATGAAGCATTAGGAAGAATAAGAGAAGTAATGGCTCGAGTTGGTCAGAAAAATCAGGCTATACATACAGCTAATAATAACGCCAGACTTTTATTAGATCAGTTAAATCTGGTCATTGTAAGTAAACAAGAATAATATAAAAAGATTATATTATAATTAAATAATTGTTATTTCTGTATTATAATATATAATTTTTTTCAAGTCGCAATTAGATATTTCTCCAACACATCAACGTACTCTGAATGAAGCTGAATTGCCAGGCGAAAGAGAAGAGCTTGGTCTTGCAGGTACAGCACTCTTAAAAGCAATCACAGCACCTCTTCCACCAGGCTTGGATAAACTGAGTGCTGTCACTGAACAAAAAAGACGGTTAGACAAGCTTAAAGCAAAATTCTCAGTTATTGTCGCTAGACATTTAAATAATCTTTTTATACATCTGGTAATTATTTAATTTTTCAACATTTTATATTTCTTCATGATGCTATTAAATGTAATTAACATAAGAACATTTCTAATTTCTTGATTGCATTTTAGGGTAATGATATTGGGGATGCATCGACAACCATGGCAGATCTAATTTTACCGACTCACCAAGGAGTTCATAACGAGCTTGTACCATACACTGAATTGATGCAATTGCTTAGAGCATTAGATAATAAAGCTTTTGTGTTGTTGACCAAAGTCTATACTGATACCATGAGCAAATTGTATAAGAGGGATCTAAAACGCTTCTTTGAAGAAGCTAAGAATAAACTTATTAACAAACGTCTACAAGGTACAACAATGGAATAATTTTTGCAGTAGAGCTCCGATCAGTAAATAAACGATAATAAATACTTGAAAATTTTAATGATTAGATTACAGCGAAAACGAACCGGTGCTCTATTGCCTAATCGTGCGCGCATCCTTAAATTTTATTTATTAGTAAGAAAATACGTTTTAAGTAAATACATCAAGGTCTAGCGGCCAAAAAGGTGAAGATCTGCTTAGCCCGGCGCCTATCTGTTTGCTGAGTGGCGAAATATGGACACCAGTGGACGAAGGTAATCTTCTGGATTCAGTCCTTGATTGTGTACTCTCGCAAATGCAGCCGGTGTGTCTCGCCGAGCAAGGATTCTGCGTTTCGTTTCTTCAATTGGACTCTGTTCTTTCGCCTTCCAAAGTAAGTATAAATTAATCAATAAATTCCCGTCCTAGCTTCTTTAAACGTGTTCGTTTATTACAGAGCAGTGAGATGGAGGAAATAGAAAATACGAGTAATGGTGCGGCAAGTCCAGGATCGGTGACTTCAACGGCGAGTAAAAGATTGGAGCGTCAAGTGAACGAGGACGTGCGTGCAACTATGGCTGCAATATTTCCATCATTAGAAACTGAATTGAACAACTTTATCGGCTTTCTGGACAAAATCGATAGCTTGTAAGTGTTTGAAAAAAATTTTTTTTATTCATAAAATTAATTGAAGTTTGTATTGAACGGCTTTATAAGCATTTTTTAAAAATAATTTTCTTATTTGCAGTTGGTGTATGTATGTGTTAGTGCGCTTGTCACAGCATGTTATGTCCGCTCAAGACACCGGCTCGTTTTTGTCAATGACGTTCGCATCTGCTCTGATTCACGTGAAACGAGCATTTGACAAGTTTATGCAGGCGCAGCTACAGTCCATATTATGCGATACGAAAGTCAATCGTCGGCACAAGTGCGGTATATTGCCATATATAGAGAATTTTGGGCCATTTGCGAGAACCGCAGAAAAAATCTTCCGTAACTCTGACAGGAAGGTCGATCTTGAAAAGTGGTATACGAAACTCGTGAGCACTATGTTCGAAGCTATCGTCATTCATAGCCGAGAACACCACAAGACACCGCAAGAAGTCATAAAGATGGGTAAAGAATATTGTAATTAATAATAAAATTGCTATTCGTATAATCCCAATCACTATTAATACTTATTTTTTTGTTGCTTATAATAATTAATATAATACTTGTTATTTTATAGAAAATTTTCATCATCTCTATGATCTTCTTTCGCAACTGAAAATTTCTGTATTGGATCATGAGCGGAAGGAAGCCAAACAGAAATACCAGGATGCACTTCGTGCTTATGTTACCCAATACTTTGGACGACCTCTTGAGAAACTTAATGTAAATTATTAAAATTACTTTTGTAATCATCAAAATTTATATAAATATCCAAATATATTAATAAAAAAATATGTTAATTTTTTAGCTTTTCTTTGAAGGCGTACAAGCCAAGGTAGGTGCTGGTGTGAAAGAATCCGAAGTCAGTTATCAGATGGCCTTCAGTAAACAAGAATTGCGACGCGTAGTGAAGGAATATCCCGCGAGAGAAGTTAAAAAAGGTTTAGAAAATCTATATCGAAAAGTTGAGAAACATCTATGTGAAGAAGAAAATTTGTTACAGGTAGAGTACAGGAGAGATATATTCACATTTTGATAATCACGATATAATTTTTTTCTTATAAATAAAAATTATTTTCAATTATTTGTATAATCAGTTATTGGATATTAATGTATTAATTGTATTTGTAATTTTAATTATTTCTATTTATCTATACACATGTCCATAGGTTGTTTGGCGCGAAATGCAAAACGAGTTCATTGCACAATACAGGAATATTGAAGAGCTCATACAACGTTGTTACCCAGATAGTAATGTGACACTAGAATTTACTATTCAAGATATTCTAGAATTCTTTTCAGAAATAGCACGTTCTCATTAACAAGTCAACAGAAAGTATTAAAATAAAAAATACAATTTGATTTATATAACTTAACTATATAATGATTATTATAATAAAAACAAACAATATAAACTTATAACTTTATATATATATATATATATATATATATATATATATATGTATATGTATATAAAGTAAAATATATACATATGTAAATGTAAATTTATGTAATACTCGAATAACAAAAAATAATTTAATGTTGCAGAGTTCTGAAATAGAAAATTTAATTTATTAGTTGCTATATACTATTCATATATTTTACTATACATTTTAGATATAAGCATGTTTTACTTGTTTCATTTATGTGATTTATGGACAAGATAAATATGTTTTGTTAAGCCAGAGTAGATATTCGTAAGATAAATATATATCTTGTGTACTGATTATATATTCACGATAAATAAGAACTATTTATTGAAAGTACAAGTTATTGCATGTTACACTCGTACAATAAAGTACGTAACATTCTCAACAGTTGTATGTAGTCAGATTGCATTCAACTATTTTAATTAGCTAATATTTTTATGTGAATGTTTATTTCTTCTCCTCAACAGGTTCCTCAGGTGGTCCAAAATTAAAGAATATAAGGTCTGAAAAGCTTACCTGAAAACAAAATAGAAAAATTATATATATATATATATATATATATATATATCTATCTATATATATATATATATATATATATATATATATATATATATATATAGACGTTTTATAATCTATAAAAAGTATTAAAAATAAAATTGGGAATATAATTAAATTCTATTGTAATATATGTAACAATTGTGAAATATGGAATTATATTATGAGAGTTTATAATTCAACAATATATCATTTGAAAAATTTAATACATACAAAAGATATGGTACCAATCAATACAGCAAGACCAGCAATCAATTGAGTATTGTAAACTTTTTGTCTGGCATCGTAATACTCTTTCCATGAACCCTGTGGTTGAGTTGCTTCATCAAGTGTTGGTAATTTAAAATCTACCACTTTTGAACTTGAAGACCGAGTACCTTTGCATAAGAAAATTATATATTTATATATATATATATAAAAAAAAAACCACGAATTTGTATCAATTTTTTTTACAATTTGTATATATTTATTTTAACTTTTGAAATTATTAAACTTATAAAAATAAAATATTCAATAACTTTGAGTTTTAAAGGTAGTTTTGATAAATTTTGAATTATTTTTATAAAATATGTAGTAATTTTGATTCAGTCTTAGAAAAATTAAATCAAAGAATGGTTTGCTAATTATTTGTAAGATTTTTTGTTTTACAATTATTGCCAATTTTATGCCATTATCAATTTCTTAATTGAAAAGTTAGCTACTCAAAAAATTAAAGAAAAAACTGACAGCAAATTGATGGACAAATTTATAATTAAAAATAGATGAGCAATTTCGTAGACAATTAAATTCTTTATTGCCGCATATTTGTCAAAGACTAATATTTAACAGCATTCACACGAAATAGCAGATATTATGTAAGATTGATATGTAAGTATTAAACCAAGCGATACTGAAATAGTACAGATCCAACATGCGGAAATCTCACCATTTCTGGTCACATTACGAACAATAGGTCGCAATATTTGATTGAACATTTTGACAGGATTAATCTGCGTTCGACGCAGTCACAATTCACGAAATGTAACACACCAAATGAAATATACGATAAACCGATTGATTCTAAAGACTTATACTATACTGGGAAAATTTGTCAATGTGCATTGAATATGGAATTTTGTGAGGGGCAATCGCGCTTGACGAGCAATTACGTAATGCCATCTTGTGGTGTTCTGAATAGATACATCTGTATTTACTGTCGATAATTTCTATGACAATTTAGGAAACATGGTATATTACTTGTAAATTTTAATTTTTTTTATGTAATACAGAATACATATCATTGTATAATTTTATTTTGTAATATTAATAAGTTATAATTTTAATAATAAACGGAAGCACGTTTTATACATATATTCAAATGTATATAATAATTGTATTCAGGCTCTTCTTTAATTTTTTGATAGAATGTATAACTTTTTTATAAATTGTAATTGAATCTAAATATTGAAAAGAAATGATTTTTATTGAGTTACTTAAAATTAACTTAATTGTGATTATCTTAATCTAATATATGTATTAAATTTATTTGAAATTATACTAAACATAATTGAACATAAATTAAAATAGTGATTGTCGCTTTAATCATATAATCAGAACATTAAATTAGGACATGAAAAACCACCAATTATTCTGTAAATATAATAACCAATTTTTGATGATTATATGTATGAATAAGATCTATTGTTATGCTCTCATAACTAAATTATTTATATTATACAGTTGAAAAATGAGTAATCAGATTTTCATTTGCATTTGTCTTTTATGCTTTTGACACTTTTGTATTTGTGTCAGTGGGATTATGAAGGTTTCAGAAATATAATGCCAATGTTTTTTACCCAGTTTTACACATTTACATTTCTGTTAATGCCAATTCAGGCAATTCAACAAATAATGCAGTTCGATTTTTCTTGTACATTTCCATTGGCTTTTTCAATCTCCATCAGCAATGTATGAAAAATGTCTGCAACAGACTATGTAAATTGCATTTAATAAAAAATTCACAGACTACTTCAAAAGAATGGAGAATCTATAGGTACCTCATTTTGTTTTGCACTAGTTTCTAGAAATGCTGCATTCCAGGAATTTGCTAAGCGCTTTCCTTGGTCTGTCGTGATCATACGGTCAACGTACAAATCCGTTTTGTTACCCACTAATACAATTGGAACACTGCGAATAATATCATAATTTATAATTATAGTTTAAATAAGGGAAAACATGCAAGCACTTAATAATCAAGATATCTTACTGGAGCTTTCCAGTGATGTCAAGTAGTTTGTCATAAATAATTTGTACAATTTCAAAACTTTTTGCACTGGTTATGCTGTATACCAAGACATAACCATGGATGTCCATGGAATATTGAGTAGGAAATATGCTATATTCATCTTGACCAGCTGTGTCTACTAATTTAAGTTCATAATCTTGACTATTTACTCGTGTACTTTTTGTAAATGCTACAATACATAGAAAAATATTAATATAATATTCAATCATTAAAAAGATGTAATTTCAATTTTTATAAATTAAAAAATATAACTTTTCATAAATTTATAAATTGAAATATAAAATAAAATAAACAGTGGAAATATTTCTTACTATTTTCTATTGTAGGGTCATACGAGTCTACAAATTGTCCCTCGACAAACTGGATACTAAGAGACGATTTACCTGTTAAAAATTAAATATATTAAAACATTGCACATATTTGAATATAATTGATATATGCTGATAAATATGTGACACTATATAATAAGGCACCTGGTGCTTGTATTTCATTGTAGAATTATAAGTGATACATATCTATAAAAACATAGAATATTGTTCAGATTTTACCTACGGATCTATAGCCCATAATAGCTATTTTCCTCTGTTTGGGTGGCATGTTGTAGCATTTACAAACTGAAAAGCAGTGAGAATGTTCAGCAAAAGCTGGTGCATAATCCAGCTACAACCTGTAAACAAAAGGAAATTTTGCAACTATTGAATTTTTTCTATTGTGATATAAACTATTTTTTTTTATATTGGAGCAACATTACTATAAAAGATGCTTTTTTAAGGAAAAATTATTAACTGAAGCAGCAGAAGTTACTGTACAAACGGCGTCGTTTATCTATATAATATATTTACATAACAATCGCATCGCAAACATTTTTTTTATTTACGTTTACGGCAATCTGTCTTGACCATGACACGTTTTATTGGCAATGCAAACTTATTTCAGCGAGGAAGTAAACAATTAATGAGCGACATTGTTATCGACAACAAGCGTCCTAGTAGTACTATCCAAGGATTTAACGAATGACGATGATGAATTAACAATTACTGCGTGGCGATCTTGCGAAATATAATATGACTAAAAAAAAGAGAGAGAGAGAGAAAAAGAAAACTGAACGATATACACGATGGAAGTGTCTCTTACATCGATGCGTAACGCCCCTGGCTTATGTAGCGACGTTTCCGAGAAATCGCAACATAGATCGACAACACAAGTTTGCAAGTCGCACTGTGTCAGAAGAAAAAAACAAATAATAACGTTCCCAACTACGCACTGTCTAACGCACGCACGTATGTACTACGGACGCACGCGTATGTGCAATGTACGAAGCGGCAGCGAAAGAGAGAGAAAGAAAGAGAGAGATAATAAAAGATAGATAGGAGAGAGAGAGAGGCAAAGACTGAGCAGAAGATAGAGAGAAGAGAGGGAGGGAGAAAGAGAGAGAGAGAGAGACTGAATAAAAGATAGAGAAAAGAGAAGAAGGGAGAGAGAGAGAGAGAGAGAGAGAGAGTGAGGAGAGGGAGAGGAAGAGAGAAAAAGATGACGCCAATGACGTGTATACATCCTGCGTCATGCCTTCGCGTCTAAAGTCTGATGTTTCCGGATAATTCTTGCTTAGGAGAAAAGCTAGAGAGAATAGATATTCGATATCTTTATTATTTTAGATATGCGAGAGAAATCAATTGAGAAATTACAATTAAACTTGATCAAGTTTAATTAAAAGTGAAACACTGTTAAATGGTAATCGTTTGCTAAGTTAAATATTGCGAAAACAACGCTGTTAATTAGCAATTATATTATAGTATTAAATTATAGCAACTCGCATTAATTTAATTATATTTCCTTTTAACATTTATGAGATTTATATATTTCTATATAGGTCCAAAGTACATAATCAAAAGGCAAGGCATACACGATGGCGAATTGTTCATAAATCAAAAGATTGAGCAATTGATAGCAATTGTAAGTTAATTCATCATCTGTAAGTTTTTATTCTTTTTATTAAATTATTCTTATGACAATCTTAATATATTATTGTAATCTTTCTTTCTTCTGCTTTTTTTCAAATTATGAGAAAATACTTGCTTTGTGTTGTACATAAATACAAAAAGAATAATAAAACAGAATTAAAAAAGAAGAAAGTAATATGCCGTTATTATTTTTTATGATAAGGCATAATGATTTTAGAAAAAAATAAATCGTTGAACTTTGAAATTTGATATATTAAAGTATTTAATTATAATATGTGTAATCATATTTTATGATTCTTATTTTGCAATTGATAATTGATATATTTAAAATTACAGAAAAGTAATATTTTTAAAATTTTAAATATCCTAGATTATATATTTTAAGTATAATATCTTATATATATTGTATGTATTATGTATATAATAAAAAATAAGAATTCAATAAATAAAAGAATAGTATTTGTATGAAATGAATATATATATATAAAATGTCAAATCTCTTTATTGCAACTTTTGGCGCCAAATATATCTTAGCGTGCTAATTGGTCGTCCGATAGAATTTTTCAAGGTTTCTAGGGAATTTTTTAAGGAAAAATTCTCTATTCGAAAGTGAACGAGTCAGCACGTTTGAAAAACTTATGGCGCTTTCGAATGATCGAATTTAATCGCTCCGACGTAGTTTCTTAGACGGCATTAACCAATCACAGCCATTCTTCTGAAGAATATATGGTACACTCTTCAGAAGAATGGCTGTGATTGGGCAATGCCGTCTAATTAAACTCGATCATTCGAAAACGCCATTAGTCCATGATATTGGGTCTGTTCGTTTTAGCTAGAGAACCTCTAGGAGAGAGAATGGACAACTGATCATGTGACATGTGATCAAGCTTTTTCATAATTGGCTGGCAGAAAATGTATCAATTTAGCTATTGCGACGCCAATGCAAAATATGATGCACACAAATAGGTTAATATATGTGTGTCCTATTTGTGTCATCATATTTTGCATTGGCGTCGCAATAGCTAAAATTGATACATTTTCTGCCAGCCAATCATGAAAAAGCTTGATCAGTTGTCCATTCTCTCTCCTAGAGGTTCTCTAGTTTTAGCTGTACTGCTGCACTAGTGCAATTAGTTAGAGTGAAAGAAAGTAGTGTTTGTCTCTTTCTAACTTATTGCACTAGTACAGCAGTGTAGCTAAAACGAACAGACCCATTGTAAGGAAGTCTTAATCTTGAGATTTAGAGGCTGAACTTGAAAAAAATAATCTATGGTATATTAATTTACCAATAAGATTACTTCGATTTTGATTAGTCTTTATCATCCATCACAGTTTTGAGTGTCTTGGATCATGTCAAGTCGCAGTTGATAAGAAGCCGACAATTCGTATTTAGTCGAATTTTTGTTAATAATTCTCGTGCTTGAATATACATATATATATACATATATGCGTATATATGGGCCGCGTTTCATCCGAAAAACGTAATTTCATTTCTCCGGCATTATTTTATTATTTTGTCCTTCGATCGTTTGTTCATTTAACGTATCGCTCCGATTTGCTCGTTACTTGACGATATGATGCCAAACACAGACGTTTATGACAGTTTGTATCTGTGAGTAGAATATTATATGACAATCTCATCATTTGATGTAAAATATAAAAGAAATTATATTTTATATAAATATTTTATATATAAATATTTTACATAAATATATTGTTCATTTCATTTTTTTATACTGATTTTATCATCTTGTCAAGGTATGCAACTCCGGAGAAGTTTTTTGTAGAGCCAGTCGGAACCAAAGTCCTGCTAGTAATTGATAGAGTGAGTCAGCAAATCCACACGCAAGGTAATTTGCAATTCTGTATATTTTCTTAAATTAGTCTGACAAATTAATATATTTTTGTTTCTTTTCTTAGTTGGCACAGCTAGTCAAATTCCAACAACTGCCAGTCGAAGAAAGATATGGGGACTGGTAGGGACTGTACGCCTTTTGGCATGTCGTTACCTGATTGTTATTACAGATGCTCAAATGTGTGGTACTATAGCTGGGCATAACATATACAAGATATCATCGACAGAGGTGATACCTTATACAAGATCCTCTTTACATTTGACCGAGAAACAAGTTCAGAATAATGCCATATATTTGGAAATGGTGAAATCAGTATTGAATACACCATACTTTTACTTCAGTTACACATATGACCTCAGTCATACCATGCAGAGGCTGCATAACACAATACCTGAATTCTTGCAAGTAAATATATTATATATTTATATATTATATATTTTTATCATTGTTTTATATAGTACTAAGCAGTTTTATAATAAAAATATATTGTTATTTAGATGTCGCTTCACGACAGGGCAGATCCTAGGTTTGTGTGGAACGCTTATCTCCTTCAGGACTTGAGTGCAAGACCAGAGCAGTACAAATTCTGTTTACCCATCATTCATGGCTGTATCCTTTAACATTCTTTATATCAGATATGAAGTACTATGCATTTTTCTGTAATGACCTTAACAGTTAATTTATATATAGTTGTTTCATTAAACACGATAGTCGTAAACGGTGTTGCATTTAATTGGGGCATCGTCTCTAGACGTGGTGTACATCGTGCTGGAACAAGATTGTTTTCGCGCGGTATAGATGCCACAGGGAACGTTTCCAATTATGTGGAGACAGAACAGTTGATCGAAGTAAATGGTGATCGCAGTTCCTTTGTGCAAACGCGTGGATCCATTCCTTTATTTTGGTGTCAAGCACCAAATTTAAAGTACAAGCCAAAGCCACAAATTAGTCCACATGAAGACCATCAAAGCGCTTGTGCGCGGCATTTCGATGTTCAGATCTTTCACTATGGAAAGCAAATTTTAGTGAATTTGGTAAGTTGTCTCATTTTTTTTTGGCATATCTATAATATTTGAACATTATGAAATTTTGTGTATATAAAATATATATAAAGTTTTGAATGTGTAATATAAGCAGGAATCGTTTAAGAAATGTCATTTTATTGTGAAAATCATTATTATTTTATTTACTGAAACTTTTTGTGCTATCAATATTTTCAACAGATTGATCAACGTGGACCAGAAGCACTACTTGAAAATGCATATCGCAATTTAGTCCAAAGAATTAACAATGAAAATATACGATACGAAGCTTTCGATTTCCATGCAGAATGTAGAAGATTGAAGTGGGATAAATTAAACACTTTAATGGATCGACTAGCTCACGATCAAGAACAAATGAGCTATTTTCTATTAATGAGGGATGGAGTATTGCTTTCGGCTCAAGATGGAGTTTTCCGTACAAATTGCATTGATTGCCTAGACCGAACAAATGTTGTACAAAGTATGCTGGCAAAGCGGGTCCTCAATGAAGTATTAAGTAGGCTAGAAGTACTTCGAAAAGTAGAGGATCACCCTGCATTTGAGAATCTTTTTAAACAGGTAAATATCAAATTCTTTTCAGATATAATAAACTACTTTTATACAATAACTACTTTTATACAATCTATTTTTTGATTAAACAAAATATCATTTTTAAGATTAAACAAAATATAATATTTATTATAATAATATTTACAATTAATATAATAATAATATTAATTAAAAAGTGTTAATATGAAATTTAAATGATGTATGAATATAATATAGTACACACATATACTTATGCAATAATAAAAATAATATTTTAAAAATAATTGTTTTCCAATTAAAAAAAAATTCTGTTAATGTTTTTAGGTTTGGGCCGATAACGCGGATGTGATAAGTATTCAATACTCTGGCACGGGAGCATTGAAAACGGATTTCACGCGAACTGGAAAACGCACCAAGTTAGGCGCTATGAAAGACGGTTTAAATTCACTAACGAGATATTACAAGAACAATTTCGCCGATGGATACAGACAGGTCAGTTGAATTTTGAAAATATTCTTACATCTCTTTTTCGGTGATATAATAGGTTTTATATTATAGGATTCGCTGGAGCTTTTTCTGGGTCGCTATATTGTACAGGACGGCGAATGCACTTCCATTCAATGTCCTTTGGAATCCGAGCGAAATTGGCGTTACGCTACATTCCCGCTCGTTCTCTTAGTCGCGTCCTCGATGTTAGTTGCTCATATAATATTACCATCGCGATACACAACGGAAATATTACTTTATATGTTATTTTGGGGTGCCATGGTGGCCGGCACCTTTGCCACTATTATCCATCATGGCAAGCAATACGTTGATAAGCCAAAATTACTTTAGAATTAATTGATAATTCCATGAAATTTAAGAAAAAAAAATATATATATATTGTACAATGTTGATAATCGATGGCGATAAGCGACTGTAGGATTCTATTAGTTTTGCACAATCAATTGAATCAATCGGTATCTCGGTTTTTCTATCATGACACATAGATCTCATCGTGTGAGAAGATCTCTCGGCGTAATAACAAAACTTACCTTCGTAAAGAATTAACATTTTTATTCGGCATTATTTCATTGTAAAATTATTAGAAGCCGAATATTTATCGAATGCATTTTTATTGATGGTATAAGGTATATGTCGGGGGCCACGCATAATATCTCTTATACAAAAATCGCAATATCATTATTGTGATTTTTGCACTTTACGCATGATAGGTAATGGAGTATATAATTCTTGATGATTTTCGTTTCTTAGAGTTCGCTTGATGAACTTTTGTAATGTATTGTAAAGAGTTAGGCCTTTGGTCTACAACAGTGTGAGTAGGGCTAACCGCGGATTGTACTCAGCACCTACCGTCCATAGATAATCTGCAGCTGGTTTTCGATTCGAGATATAAAAGGATTTAAGGAAATCTTTCTCATAATTTTTTCAATTTTAACAAATTAGAATTTTTTTATAAAAGTCCGAAGTTATTTCTATAGTGAATGTGTCTTTAAATTTAGCAAAATAAATATTCTTTACATATATATATATATATATATATATATATATATATAACTTTCTTAAATAACAATTTTTATTTTTATTGCATTAAATATTACTAAAAATTTTTAGAGTTATTAAAAGATATAATTTTAAAATATAATTTTAAAAATAATCTTTTTTTCATTGCGATATGATAGGATAATTGGTTATTTTAGTGGAAAGCAATTAAAAATAATTGCATCACAATGCTAAAATTTATTTATATTTTTTAGACAACAAAATTTTTAATAAATTTTATTCATTAAAAAATTTTATTCGTTAAAAAGTATTAAATATAAAATTGTTTTAAGTATTATTGAGAGGAAGAGTTTTGTTATAATATTTTCAAAGTAATCCTTACTTATAAATCCATTTTTTTCTATGCTTTACATATATTCTATGCATATACACATATGGACACGAACGTGTGTGTGCATACACTAATGAAACCAATTTTTTATAGATATGTCAATAATTGAAATGATTAAGTTTACGGGATAAATAAAGATTCCAAACTCTTTCGCAATAAAGATTAACTTTTTTATTTGATATTCTTTATTGAATAAAACATGAAACAAACTAGACATGTATTAAGAATCCAGAAGGGGTACTTGAAAGGAATTTAGATAATTAAAACGTGTATAAACGAATCGAATGCGCGTCGCTGGCGATATGTTTGTACGGGCATTCGTAATTCGCAAAGTGCTTCATGAAATAGGATTAACGTTATAAATCAAGAGTCAAACGCGAAGATATACGAATTTCTGTAGGCATGGAATCTTGAGCCAAAGTACATACCGGTTTTAGGATATATACATATATGTATATTGTATTTTACTGTACATCTGCAATATACGATTATGAATTATATCATCTATTTAAGTGTAGACGAGAAAAATGTCACGATGAGAGAGTATTTTTTAATATTTCAAAAACAGATCGCCGTGTTAAAAAGAGGGATCTTAAGTAGACGGCGGAGTTTACTCGATAAATATTACTAATATATCTTTCTTGTCGATTTTTGGACTGTAACATTAATCACAAATAGATGAATTATACAAACATATATCGTGTACAAAATGCTGTATCAATATATAATATCACTCTTATTTATTTTTATTTTATTAGAAGTTTATGGTTTTTTTCCAGAGTCAAATATTTTAGAAAATTCAGTAGAAATCCTATCCATTTCAAAATGAAATACTAGAAATAGAGAATCCTTTCATTTTTCCTTTCGATATCATATACACGAAGCGATGAGAACATTGTCGATCGCTTGTCTTATTGGAGTTGTATTCGAATGGTATCTCATCCAACGCAATCGTTTGTAATCCACGTCGTGATATTCGCAATTCGACCAGCCGTGCAACCTGCAAAATGTACGCCTCGTCGTTTATCACCTCGCTATTCTTCTGTCTCGTTTTCTCCCTTTTCCATAAATCCGCGCTATAATTTCGGGTTTACAGTAATGCGCGTCCTCGCGCGTATCGCGCGGGCACGAGAAGGAAGATGTAATCGTTTATTATCTCGGCGACGAGAATCCGCAGGATATTTTTGCGCGGGTGTAAAAACGGTGCCGGGGGTGGAAGAAGAGTTACGTGGGTCATTTACCATTTGTATTAAAGTAGATCGGTCGACACGGGAGCGCGAGCCTTTGTCTCGCGAAATGGTACGAAATGTCCTTTATGTGGCTTATATTTTAGACACGTAATTCGACCATTGTATGCGGTAATTGTGTGGGATTACGATCGTGTATCTAAACGTATAATTAAACGAAAGAGCACGTACGTGATCTCCTATTGTATTTCAGTGTTGAAATATTTTCTGATATAAGAAAGGGAGAAAGAGAGAAGAGAGAGAGAGGGAGGGAGAGAAAGAGAGAGAGAAGAGAGAAAATGTATGCGTGTGTATCTCTACAAAATTCTCTTTTTTTCTTCGATCTTGATTTAAATTATAAATCTGTCAGGTATGTGTGTGTGTGTGTGTGTGTGTGTGTGTGTGTGTGTGTGTGTGTGTGTGTATTTCGAAATCTACTTTCATCTTTTTAGAAAAAAATCATTTATTTTTTATATTTAAATGCTAAAAAATTTTCTTGGAACTATATTAAAAGTTCTAGAATTTTTTTGGAAAAGAAGAGATAAAAAGTTAGACAATTTTATCAATTAGTGGAATTCTAAAAAAATTAGTGAAATTCTGAAAATTCTGAAATTTGAACAGAAATATATGGCAGAAGTAGAAAGACAGTATATGGTTTTTTCTTCTACTGTAGGTCTCGCAATTGAAACTGCCGTTCAAAACAGACGGCCAACCCTTGAAGAAAGCTTATTGAATGTTGAAAGCAAATTGTGCCGATTGTAATTCACAGAATGAAACGTGCGCTTTTATATGAGAGCTTTTATATTTAAACGAAATGTAACATAGTATTTCTTCGCTATATCTTCTATGTTTTTTCGGGTAAGCACGAAGTCTTGTTAGTCTCAATTGTTTTCCAGTTTTATTTTTATTTTTCGAGACAATGCTTGTAAGAAACAAAGGAAATCCAGATGTCAAGTGAATGGAATTAGAGAGTTAATCGAATTGTTTTTATGAAGAATTCAGTCATTGATTAATTGTAGTCAACTTCGCATTTCCTCCCTTTCTTTTTCATACACTTTTTTATGTAATATTTTTTATACACTTGTTGAACTTTACGTAAATATCTATATTTCATATTAATTATATCATTTAATTTAATTAACTTAATTAAATCATTAATGATCGCACGCATATTTTAATTAGAAAATATATAAACATCTAGAATATATTAATTTCTTTACTGTCAGGGAAAGATAATATAATCATGTTAGAGCAGAATTAAACGATTTTGCTCTTATATACTCTTTTTTTATTTTAATTATATTTATTAAAAGTTATATTTCTTGATGAAATTATAGTTATTCTAGAATCTGTATATTTTATTAAGATAAAATAATTATTACTAATTTATTAATCATTTAATATTCAATTAATTATTAATTAACAATAATGATATATAAAAAATAATAGAAAATTTAATTAGCATTTATTTAAGAGAATCTAGCTGTTGGAAAGATGATTAACTTCAACTCGAAGGCGAGATTAAAAAATCATTACAATAAGTCAATTGCAAAAGATTTAAGAAATAGATTTGTCAGCAAATTGATCTTTGATCTAATATTTATACTTCTATATTTATACTTCTATATGTAAATTTGTTTCAGTTTTTCTTACGTTTTAACAATAAATAATTCAAACTATAGAAGCATTCTTGCATTTTTCTGTAAAGACAAAGTATGAGATTTTAATTAGAATAAAACGAAATTTAGATTTTAATTTGTCAATAAATTGGATTTTTTTGTCGTAATTGATTTTTCTTTACTTTTTCTCAAATTATCATTAAGGATTGTTAACTTTGACGGTTTATCAATTTTTAATGATTCATTAATTTTTAAAGTAATTAAAAATCAAAGTTAATTAAGAATTTATAATATTAAGAAATAATAAAAGATATAAGGGCCTTTCAAAAATTCCATGGATATTTATGTGCTAAAGAATTGATGTAGTGTGATCTTAAAGCTAGAAAATTAGAAATTTGTAAATTGCTGGGGAATAATTTTATTTCATCATGCTAATGCAATCAAATACAATAAATTAATATAATTAAAACTGTAATTTGCGATGTATTTGCGGGGAACTGAAGTGTACTCAGAGAATAGTTAAATATCTTTTGTGACAATTTTTTTCCATAAGTCTCCTTTTTCTTCTCTCATTAAGTCTTTTTCTAATTTTTAATTCAATTTTTTTCTTTTTTACCGGTTTATGGTAAAAATAGATGAATAATACACACATACATATAATACAGTACGAGTTTAAAAAACAGTTTCACAATATGTATTGGAATGTGATATATATAGTTCATGATTGATAATATTATAGATGAGAATTTATATTGGAAGAATGTTATGAATCAATAATGGATGACTAATATTATCATGAATTCGATTATCATAAAAATAATATAAGATGCACATCGAATATAATCTCATGACGCATATGCAGATCGAAATTGCTTTACAAAAAGAAAGTAAGATGACATTCATGATTTATGATTTATGATTTATATAAATACATATCGTTGTTTTGCAACTTTCCAGATAAGGCTTGTAATTGTCGAGTGTATCGTCGTCATAATTTTGCAACAACACGTCAACTGACCTAAAACACGATGCGCTTCATATTTCACCGAGTCGACATATACAGGCTTCCATGCTTGCTCGAAAAAATTCGCGTTTAGAGGCTCAAATTAAAAAGCATGGAATGTCTGCTCTTGTGCATGTGTTATTACTTTCAACGGCGAGTTTTGATAGATATTTCGAGCAGGAATGAAAAACGTGGCTTGCCTAAAAATTTCAATTTTTTTTTTTTATATAAAATATATTAAAATAATGAATAATATAAAATATATGTATATATTTTATTATAATTATTAGATCGTATAAAGAAATATAATCTACAATTGCAAAATTAAATATAAATACAATTGAAAATAATACGTCCGATAATTATAATTATTAAATCATAACTGAAAAGTTACAAAATGACAATTGTACAAGTACAAATCTATGTGAATTATAAACACCGATGAATTACTTTTTCCGTAAAACAATTCCGAAATTAAACAAATTTTAATCATAATAATAAATATGTTATTGATATTTTTCATTTGATAAATGAGCAAGGTTTGTACATTCTGTCTTTGATTTAAAATAATTAATTCATCATTTAAATCTATCTACGTTTAATTCAATTACGATTAATTTTCTCAGAGCGCGAGTTTATACGCGATTTTCGCTGCATGTCAATCTATGTGATCGCAGTTTCGTCGGTTTTTCACCCATTTATTTTTATCACTGATAGCAAATTGCAAAAATATGCGAGGCGAACAACATCATTTTTGCGAGCAAAACTTTTTGGTAGCTTTGAGTCTTTGACAAACGGCCGTCGGTAATTGGATTCGTTTTATAAAGTTTCAACGAAACGTCGAAATGACCCTCCATACCCGCGTCCCGTTCATCCCCTTTTACCCCGGCTGTTCTCCAGTCGTTCGCTATTAATTGGAGATGGCGGTGGATGAGTCGACAGTCTGCGGGGGTACGGATTCTGTTCGAGGTCGGTCGGGGTGATTAATTTGATTCAATTACAAATCGGAGCAGATCCGGGGCATCGATTTTATTACCATTTTGCCGGTATATTCGTCCTTCCGCGGTCTGTCGATTCTTCTCACTCTGAAAAAAACGGAGCGACGACGGAATTGACTTCGAGGAATATCATCTGAATTTTGCGGTTATTAGTTACATGTGTTATATTTAAAAGCGTATAGGATCCATCTTGAAGCGTCAAATCAATATGAAGTATAAATGGAAATATTTACAATTTTTATTTTTCGAAATTTCCATAGTGATTATCTTCTTATTTCAGTATTTTATATATCAAAAATATATTCTCTGACAAAGAGTATCCTAGGACAAAAAAATATATAAATTTTTTTATAATATTCTCCACTTTATTTTTTTAAAAATTAATTTTTTTAATGCGTCTCAAAGAATTTCAGAGTTTTTTATTAATTTTAAAAATAGGCAAATAAGACATTTAAATTTTAATAAAAAATTAATTTTTTCAAAAATGAAATGTCAAGGTTTTATAAAGGTAGAATTTCCCACACTTGAATTGGAGATCTCGAAGAAGAGAGAATACAACAAAATATTTTATTAAACATCATATTTTTTCGCTTTTACCTTCTCTGTCTATAAAAAAAATCTTTGAAAAAATTATTACAAAATTTTTTTTAAATTATTAAAATGCTGCGGAGAATGGAATTGAAGAAAATGCGCATATCTACCTTTCGTTTCCTTTCATCGCAATCTTTCACAAATATACACGCGTGTCCCCCGTTCCAGCCGCGTGGCACGCGTTTGTTTGCGCACGTATGTGGCGTACTATGTCGGTTAGGTACCTACTTACGGCAGCTTCTGTGATACATGGAGGTCGCACCTAAATTTCCCCGGGGAGTCGTACGTCTCTTGGCGGCCTTATTCTCCCTCTCTCTTTCTCTCAGGCAACCCTCCGTATTTTCTCCCCGTCTAGTCCTTGCTCTTTCGACTTTCGCGTTCTCTCCTCTCTGACCTGCCTCTTCATCCCTGCCGTTCTACAGCCAACCATCTCGCGTTCTCGCGAGCGTTCGCGCGTTCATTTGGCCGACGTGTTTCCGCATTCGGTGGTGATTCTGGCTCGTTCGCCGCACTCTCGAGCCGAGTCCACGTGGAATTATCAAGATTGCGGTCCGCGGAGACGGTGCTAATGGATTTCGAGATATTACTCCGGTTAAACTATACACACGAAATAACGTAATGTAAACACGTATGTGCAGGACCGTGTATTTGTGTGGATGTGTACATAGTCTCGGATGTATCCATGAATAGTTGTACGTAGCCGTGACTCGTTAGAGAGTCAAGACTACAGTTTCCGAGATTACTAATTATGTCCTTTTATAATTTGCGAGTTAATTGTTAATTGCTTAGACTGATATATGGAGGTTGCACTTTCAGGGGATGCAAATAATAGATAAATTTAATGATTAATATGTTGATATTTTTTTGTTAAGGAATAAAATAAATGTTTCGTTATCTGCTCTTAAGCGTACGTTTCTACTTTCGTCTGGCTATATTTCTGCTTCTACTTGTCTTTCTTTATCCTTTGACCGAATCTTTTTCAATTTTCCGAAATCCTTGCAGTGCGACTACTATTCACTCTAAAATATATGTCATCTGCATATATTTCTCTGTTGAGATTACATCTTGTCTTCAGAATTTTATTTATGTATCTTTTTCATAAAAAGAAAAGAAACAGTCTATAGCTAGTAATATCTATACATATATTTGCTAATGCTAAAATATAATATATGTTTGATGTTAAAACAAAAAAACATAGAATATTTCTTATACTAGCTGAAAGAAGGTTAAATCCCCCATAGAAGAACATAACAGCGGAAGCGACATGTAACACCTTTCTCCCAAGATGATCGCGGAAGTGGATTTAGAGCAGAGGGTAGTTTTATGCGCGTCACCCTTTCACTACGCGCGAATAACCACGGGTCATTGTATATGTGTACATATATGTATATACGTATGTGTATAGATACCTGACTCGTAACATCGTATTCGGAATGACGGCATAAAAGCTCGGTGTAAAGGGCACGGTGGTTCGCCACAATTTCCTCGGAATTGACGCACAGCCGGTTCTTCAGCTTATTAAGTTTTATGAAGAGGTTTGCTGAAACTGAAAAAAGGGAGGAAATGTTAGACGGTCCCGCTTGTCTAAATTAGAAGATATAGAGCACAGCGTGATTTTGTTAATCTAAAATTACGCTTATTCGTTTTCCCATCTTTTTAATTCTCTTATTTCGAGAATAAAATCGTAAAGTAACATTAGAAAAATTAATAATTTATGCTTCAAATATATGCATGAAATTAATAATTTATGCTTCAAATATATGCATGAAATTAATAATTTATGCTTCAAATATATGCATGAAATTTATACATAAAATAAATTTATCATTAATTCCTCTTCTTTCTTGTAACATCAATTTATATATGTGTATGATACATATTTTTATAATTTTTACTAAAGAAAATCTTTTCTGTCTTAACTTGAAAACATTGTTTACGATTTACTTTCAATATCGAATTTATTTGCGATGTGATTTTATATATATATATATATATATATATATATATATATATATATCGATTGAGTTACATCACGAATAACGACTTTAGGAGTTAACATCCTGACCCTCGGACAAACGTCGGATCCGAATTATCCCTATATAGAGAATCGATACAGTTAAACGAAGCAATTTATAGACCATCTTTTGCGCGCCCACGCGATTCCGCTGATTCATGAATTAAACAGCGCCGTTTCGTTTTGCTGCGGGTGCGTGTGCGAGACTATGCAGAAGGATTATTATTCATATACACGTATCTATGTGTATGTGTGATATGCGTTATTGCTACTCGATGCTTTCTCATCATTACAAACGGTAAAAAATAATCGAAACTAACAGAGAAAAAAATGAAATCGGGCCAATTACTAACGATCTGGAGAGTAGTTTCAACATTACTTCCCTCCGATGGAGGAAATCCTTGCTGACCTGAAAAAAAATCAAGAAAGGGGAGACGCAACATAATTGTGAAGGCACCAGAAAATTTTTTCCATTTTTTTTATCAAAAAAGAGCTTATGTATTATTTATGAAGAGAATTTAATACATATTTTTGTGAGCGAAATGTATTAGATTAATCTTGGTTTCTTCATTTTGTAGAAGAAAAAAATATTTAGGTATTTTAAAAATAATAAAATTTGATTATTGATATATTACCAATTTAGTAATTAAGTATAATTTAGTAATTAAGTATTAATTTCTCTCTAGTAAGCATAAATATCTAAATAACGGTTTATATATTTTCTGATACTCTTGTGGCAAATTTATTGCACAGATAAAACTATATATTTTATTTGCACAGAATGGAGAATGATATATTTCGTTTTTATAGATTATTAATTAAATTAAGTTTTACGTTATGTATATTATACTTACGATGATTTATATTACATTAATACACGATATGCAATATGCGACAATTTATTTGTATTTGATTTGTACTTGATGGATCCATAAGGCAAGCGTGACGGTGAAGAGCGGTATTTTTGCAAAAATACGACAGCTCATACGCCATGGAGAAACGCTGAAACAATTGATAAAAAAATATTTAGCAATCGAATCAAGCGCTCAACGAACGTGTGCTTATATAAACTGACAGCGTGTACCAACCTGAAATGTTCTTTAATAAAACGTTACCAATACTGCTGCAGTGCCTAGCTGGCTATTTTTTACCTATACCAATAACTCGTCAGTAGTAACGCTGACGTTATTACGGTAATACTATTTGCACTACCGCGCGGCGAGTAAGTAAATGGGGTTTATAGAACGTCGAATGGAAACGAAAGCGAGCGCACGGCCCGCTGATTACAAAATGCAATTAATTAATGATTACTCGCCGGAGAACTCGGTGCACGGTCACTGGATATCACTGCCAGTGCAAAGTTTCCGGTGAGCTGACCGTGCTTATCTAAGCGGAGTAGTGGACACAACCAGCAGGCGAATAGCTGCCGCCGTATAACTTGGCTAGGACTTTGTCGCGAGACATGTCGACCATTTCGACTAACGCTCGTCACATTGTACACTGTACATACCGGCTTCCCACACTGCATCTCGTCAATTTACTCGAAGTTGCTGCGATGTATACCAGTACCAGCAAGGATGGCATCTCGACCGCAAAGATAGTATCGTCGGCGATACCTTCAAGGATGCTTCGTTCGTCAACTTGACCGTATTAACTGAAGAGATGATACATGAAATCTTACACGTATTGAGATTTGATAAGATTAATTGATAGGAGCTATAATTCCAATAATAATATGACACCTAATATTGTTACAAGTATTATTAGAGTGTTACAATTAATTTAATCATTAATCACGTGAAAAGTGGGATGAGTTCTTAAAAATTCGAAAGCTCGAGGCATAAAAATGTGCAAATACATTATATATTTAAAAAATTTCTAAACTATTGGATAATATTTTATACATATTATAATTGACATTAAATTATTTTTTAAAAGAAAATTTTTAGATATTATTTATAATATTCTACATGTTTATAGTTGAAATTTTTAGCAGTTTAATATCAAGTCAAGTTTCTGATGAAATAAGAATGACCATGCAGAAAAGCAAACTTATCGATTCACATTCTTGAACTTTAAGTCAACAAACAACTTTTTTCCGATTTGATTTCAATACAGATGAATCTGAATGTTTTCGCGGAATAAGTATTGAGAACTTTTTGATCCGGCATAAGCGATAAATAGATGCACGAATGGCTATTTATTTAAAGCATTCGTAATCTTTATGATTTCTTGGACAACTATTTGTAGATTTCATTTAAACAAAAATCTTTTGTGTTAGAGAACATGCAAAACCAATGCAAACAATATGCATGTGGTTGAAAACCTTTTTCGCAATAATCTTTTGCGTCAGTTTGAAAGCGAGGAAGAGAGAGAGAGAGAGATAGAGAGAGAGACGCACGTTGTAGATAAAATAAATTTTTTGCATACAAAATGACACATGTCGAACGAGGAGACGAAGAGGCGAATCGTATAATAATTACTCTAATGACGCTGCAAAGTGACATCGTGGTTTATTTTCTTTGGTCGTCGTCGTTCTCTCGCATGTAGAATGCGTCGAAGTTTATTACTTTAACATTCTTGCGGTATTCGACGATCGTCGCCTTCGCCTTAGCCACGTGTCGATCTTCCGGATAAAATTAAGGTCAGAATTGCGCGTGACGGCAATTCTCCCTTGGATTTTCTTCTTCCCTTTAGAAGATACCCGCCGCTGTAATCGTCTTAATTCATCGAGACAAGGTAAAGAGGTAAGAGAGGAAAAAGCGAGGAGAAAGAGAAGATGAAAAAAGAGAAGGAAATAACGAATCAATTATTATATCAGCACCGCATATTATAATAACATACGTAATACAAAATTTCTGAAAAAAATAAATTATGAAAAAAACTTATATAACATCTTATGCAACGCCATTGCATCAATCATTGCATGACTTGTATACTCTGCGACTTATTTGAAGATTTATTGCATCATATTGTATCTCATAATCTGTGATAATGTATCATTCTAACAATAAGTCTTGTAGTAATTTTTCTAATAAAAACTTTTAAAATTTTAATTTTTTAAATTTTAATTTAATTTTAATTTTTAAAAAATTATAGAAAATTATATTTTTAAATTATTTATTTATTGAAGATATATATATATATATATACATATATTTAATATATTTATATACACAATATACATATTTTTTTATATACAATATATTTTTTTCCCTTTTTTCTATTTCGCAAGCATATTTAGTGATTATCAAGTAATATTTTCAAATTCGACAAAAACAATGCATTTATAATTTTTATCGATAATTATTAGGATACTCTCTGACTCATTTAAAGATTTTAATTTACAATAAGAATTTATTTATATCAAAATGCACTACGTGCTCCTTGAAGTTATTTAGAGCTGTAACGTAAATCAAGAGTAAATTGATTCTAATTTTAATTTTCATACATAGTAGTTGTAGCATTATTGCTACTTACTTACGTAACACACGAGTTTCTTTGACAACATCAGGGACGTAATAACACAAGCTATTTCTTCTATAATACTTTATCTTTCATTTAAAAATATAATAAATAAATATTATACCAATAATGTGTGCGGATAAATAAATCAAGAAAACTTTTTAAATAAAAAAATGTATAAACGTAATAAATATAAAAAAAATTTTTCCTTGTTATTTATATTTAGAAGAATATATTTTTAACTAACAGTTATCATTTATTAATTTTAATAATTTAAATTTAATATTAATTTATTAATATTAATATTTTATTAATTTCATTAATTTTAATAATTTTATTAATAATAATTTATTAATTTTATTAATTTTATTAATAATTATAATGAGCTTGAATATTTTTATGTCGATCATCACTATCATACAAAATGTTGCAAGAGTCGCGGGGAATCGGAATCTCTATTGTCAGTATATTGGCAGGGCGCGCTATCTTCGAATAGCCAGGCATCGAATTCAAGCAGTTAGTTACACATACGACGAACAGGCGGATAGATCGATTGCACACAGTTCATTGGCAAAGGCGGAGATCGGTTATTGCCCGATATAATTATTGACTTACGTTTATCGTATTACTTAGTGTGACTTATAAGCCTATTTATATACATATATATATATATATATATATATATATATATATATATATATATACAGATATTCGAAATATGTGGCGAATATATTCATTTAGCGTTCTCATTTTAATCGTGATATTTTCGACGTACTGTTCAGCTGTCAACGAGACTGTGTTTGTGAATGCAACCAAGTCAAAACTCAAGATATTAAGTATTTTCGGACATCTTGGCAAGAGTCACTTCGACGTGTTCAAACCGCTTTTGGAAGAACTAGCTCGCCGGGGTCATGAAGTCACTGTGGTTTCATACTTTCCTCGAACGGACGATGCTAAAGCGAAGGAACCGTTGTCTAATTATAAGGATATTAGTCTGATAGATCCTAAGATCGGCGTTTATGTAAATATCATAGATCTTAAGCAAATGAATCAATCTTCATTCTTCCATATGAAGCAGATAATTATGTTGAGATTGATGGCCGATGTCGCGTGCAATACCAGTTTACGACATCCAAAAATCACGGAATTAATTCGATCCGATGAAAAGTTTGACGTGATTCTCACGGAAAACTTCAATACTGACTGCTTTCTGGGTTTCATTCATCGTTTCAAAGTACCTTATCTGGCTTTATCGTCGCATCAAATCATGCCGTGGGCCAATAATGACATGGGCAACGAAGACAATCCTAGCTATATCCCAATCTTATTTTTGGGATTCATTAAGCCAATGAATTTTCTCGACAGAATAACAAATACTGTGACATTGTCGTTATACAAGGCAGCCTACGAATATTGGTTTCGATCTGTCGATCAAGTTATCGCAAACGAAGTGTTTGGTTCTGATCTTCCCAAGCTACAAAAACTTGCTAAGCAATCGAGTGCATTGCTAGTTAACACTCACAGCAGTCTTTTTGGCAGTAGACCTCAATTGCCGAATGTAGTCGAGATTGGCGGAATTCACATTCCGTCCAAAATTAATTCGTTACCGAAGGACCTAACTGAATTCCTCGATAGCGCGCACGATGGAGCGCTCTTCTTTAGCCTCGGCTCTATGATTAAATCGACGACTATGCCAAAGGAAAAGCTGGACGCGATACTGAAGGTGTTTAGCTCGATCCCGCGAAAGGTGATCTGGAAATGGGAGACTGACGAGTTACCATATAAAATGGACAACGTTATGACCAGAAAATGGTTGCCTCAGTATGACGTGATGAGTAAGTAAGAAAAGTGAACATTTTATATCTCTCTCTATCTTTATATTTTCTTTCTCAGAAAATGACTTGAATTGACAGAGTCACATCATTATTCAGTATTAATAAACTTTGACTCATATTAATACGATTACAGTCATAAACGTATGTATATACATGAGACTAAATATTATTATAGGCATTTTCAGTAAGCGACACAGAAGACACAGTGTATCACTTCATCCTTGTTATTTGCCAAATGTAAACAAAAATGAAATGATTCACTGCGTTACATTGCTATAATAGAATAAAATTATAACTGAATCATGCTCTATAAAAACATCATATTTTATCAAAAAGTATAAAAAAAGGTTTCAGCCTAGATTTTTAATATATTAATATATTTTTTAATATATATATATTTAATATATATTTAATATGTATTTTTAATATATTTTTAAATATATTTTAATATATTTTAATAAAATTTTATAACTTTTTATAATCTCATCTAAAAATTGAAAATAAATATATTGCGTTTTTATTTTTCTGATGTCGCGTTTATTAATTGTGACATTTAGAATAGTTATAATTACAATAATTATAAGTTAAATATTATAAAATGTAAGAAATATATAATATTAAGTAGTAAAAAGTATATAGTAGTAAAAAGAAAAATTTATTATAAAAAAGAAATATATAGTATTATATAATATAGAACTGTAAGTAAAAATGGTAATTGTGCATAAAAAGGGCCCACCTTCGCACAAATGTGTTATTGACGTTTATTGTGAAAATATTATCCCGGATTAACGTTCTGAAGGTTTTAGCCGGCGGTCGTTCTTTATTCAAAAGTTATTAACAAATAAATGTGAGAAATATTGACATAAAATTCTACTTTATTTGTTCACCGATTTACTTCACTTTTAAATATGTTATAGGGGAGATTTTCCCGAGTAATTTCATATATATACATATATATATATATATATATATATACAGGGTCTACCAAAAGTGTGGAAACCCCTAAATATCTCGGAAAATATACGTTTTACAGAAAAGTGTTTCCAACAAAAGTTGTAGGGTTTAAGAAGATCTATATACTGATTCTATCAGTTTGACCTTGGATGGCGTCGTCAAGGTCAGGTCAAGGTCACATTGACTTTTTTAAATGACACCCCCTACATTTGATTGCATATTCTTATAGCTTAATTCAAGAGCTTTCCAAAACACTATAATAATGTTTATTTTTATTAAGTACTTTGCGAGTTATGAGGGTTGAAATAATTTCTTAATTTTACATAAACCATAAAATATCTAGTAAACCATTCATTTTTCGATTATCTTACCTTCATACTTTTATGTACAAAATAATGAAAGGAATCAATTGGTGTAAAGAAAACATACAGTTGTTTTTAAGAAAAAATATGGAATTGTTAATTGCAAATTACATATTTTTTCTTAGAAACAACTATGTGTTTTCTTTACACCAATTGATTCCTCTCATTAACTTGTACATAAAAGTATGAAGGTAAGATAATCGAAAAATGAATGGTTTACTAGATATTTTATGGTTTATGTAAAATTAAGAAATTATTTCAACCCTCATAACTCGCAAAGTACTTAATAAAAATGAACATTATTATAGTGTTTTGGAAAGCTCTTGAATTAAGCTATAAGAATATGCAATCAAATGTAGGGGGTGTCATTTAAAAAAGTCAATGTGACCTTGACCTGACCTTGACGACGCCATCCAAGGTCAAACTGATAGAATCAGTATATAGATCTTCTTAAACCCTACAACTTTTGTTGGAAACACTTTTCTGTAAAACGTATATTTTCCGAGATATTTAGGGGTTTCCACACTTTTGGTAGACCCTGTATATATATACATATATAAGACTCGGACTCAAATAGGTTTGGAGATATAAGCTAAAAAAGGATAAAAATAATAAATACAAAAATAAGGCCCCTCCCGCAGCAACCCTGCCGGTAGAATTCGTACCCACTCGCAAGCGAGATCTATCGTTTTCGCAAAATCTGTAATTATTCTCGCTCAATTATTAAGCAAGTTGTCGAACATTTTGCTATCGATTAGAATAGCGAACTAGAGATTACAAGGAAAAGACCGGTACGATAAGCCGATGATTTGAGTGTTGAAATTCCATTACATTTTGGAAATATTGTTCGGTCTAGCAGACTCTAATCATAAAAACGGGCTCGAATAAATATCAGAAATGACTTAGCGCTTTCTTAGATTGTCAATTTCGAGCAAACATTCGATCCAATTGATGTATTATTATTATTATTATTATTATTACCGCTGTTGATTTGATCTGTTACGAATTTCGTTATTTCAAATTTCCGAACTTATTGTGAATATTCATTCTTGCTTTGATTTTTTATTTCCTTTATTTTTATATTATTTTCTTTGTAATAAATCTGTTATATTTTTCTTTGATTGTTATATTTTCTTGATTCGGTTGTAAAAAATGTATGCTTTAGAAATATAATTTCTGCGTTTTGCTTGTTTAACATTTTTGAAGGGATATGATTTAATGTATGTAACCTTAACATTGGAATTGACAAATAAACTAAAATAAATTCGCAATATCAATGCTCATATACGCGAATACATGCGCGGAATTCCAACTGAAAGGGTTGATCGTTATTATCACACGTTAAGTTTATAATTCCGTCGAGTTATCCAAGTCTCTGTGGACATGAGAAATGTGGCAATCCATTCTTTAAAGGTCTTAATGTCATTTAACAAGCTATACACATAGTTACCAACCTACAGTTATGAGATAATATATGTGTTTTATTAACTTATTCATCATAAATGTAATCGTAGATTATCAATAATGATCATAATCTCTAAAAATGAATCAGTGAAAATATCACTAATTTAAACAGTAAAATAAGATTTCACTGAGAATCAGTGAGTATTTTACTGATCTTCAATGGAAACGTTTATTTCTTTGTTATTTTATCTTATATCTCATTGATTATGCTCAGTTAAAATAAAATTCTGTAAAATCAGTAAACTTTATTGTAAAATCCGTAATCGGTAGTTCGTTCATTTACCGCTACAATCACTATCTCTCTCGTATTTAATTTTAGTTATAAGAATTATATAAAGTTTGCAAAGAGCGACATTTAAAATTAGAAGTATTACTTCGATTCAATATCTGATACAAGCTCAATAGAGAGGCTTCAGATATTAAATCGAGCTTTATAAGTCGGACAAATAAATGTCTGGCGACTTAATGAAAATTATGAAGAGATAAATTATAATTTAATATTATTAACAATAACGAAAGAAATATTACTGATATTGAGAAATATTATATTACTGATTGAAACACTCAAAATTATTAACTGATTTTTTCATTAAAATATCTGATTTACTGTGCTGTACTTATAACTGCTGTAATCAGTGACTATTTACTGTTTTTCAATGATAATACACTGATTCACTTTTAGAGAGTAGTTATTTATTAGAATAGTTATTTATTAGAAGAATATATTTTTAACTAACAGTTATCTTTTATTAATTTTATTAATTTCATTAATTTTAATTTTATTAATATTAATTCATTAATTTATTAATTTTATTAATTTTATTAATAGTTACAATGAGCTTGAATATTTTTATGTCGATCATCATTATCATACAAAAAGTTAGAAGAGTCGCCGAGAATCGGAATATATTATCAGCATATTGATAGGGCACTATCTCTAAATAACCGAGCACTAACTCAAGCAATAGTTACACGACGAATAGGCAGATCGATTGATTGCGCACAGTTAGTTGGCAAAAGCTTGCGGCGGAAATCGGTTGTATTGCCCGATATAATTATTGACTTTATTTATTACTCAGTGAATTAAGCCTATTTTGATATATATAAGTATATATATTCGCGATATGTGGCAAGTATATTCGTTTAGCGTTCTCATTTTGATCGTGGTATTTTCGACGTACTGTTCAACTGTCAACGAGACTGTGTTTGTGAATGCAACCAAGTCAAAACTCAAGATATTAGGTATTTTCGGATTTCTTGGCAAGAGTCACTTCGACGTGTTCAAACCGCTTTTGGAAGAACTAGCTCGCCGGGGTCATGAAGTCACTGTGGTTTCATACTTTCCTCGAACGGACGATGCTAAAGCGAAGGAACCGCTGCCTAATTATAAGGATATCAATCTGGTAGATCCTGAGATCGACGTTTATGTAAATATCGTAGATCTTAAACAAATTAGTCAATCTTTATTCTTCTATATGGAGGAGTTAAATATATTGATGGCCGAGGTCACGTGCAATACTAGTTTACGACATCCAGCAATCACGGAATTAATTCGATCCGATGAAAAGTTTGACGTAATTCTCACGGACAACTTCAATACTGACTGCTTTCTGGGCTTCATTCATCGTTTTAAAGTGCCTTATCTGGCTTTTTCGTCGCATCAAATCATGCCATGGACCAATAATGACATGGGTAACGAAGACAATCCCAGTTATATCCCAATTTACTTTTTTGGTTTCATTAGGCCAATGAATTTTCTCGACAGAATAACAAATACCGTAGGATTGTTCTTATACAAGGCAGCCTACGAATATTGGTTTCGATCTGTCCATCAAGTTATCGCAAACGAGGTGTTCGGTTCTGATCTTCCCAAGCTACAAAAACTTGCTCAGCAATCGAGTGCATTACTAGTTAACACTCACAGCAGTCTTTTTGGCAGTAGACCTCAGTTGCCGAATGTAGTCGAGATTAGTGGAATTCATATTCCGTCCAAGATTAATTCGTTACCGAAGGACCTAACTGAATTCCTCGACAGCGCACACGATGGTGCGCTCTTCTTTAGCCTCGGCTCCTTGATTAAATCGACGACTATGCCAAAGGAAAAGCTGGACGCGATACTGAAGGTATTTAGCTCGATCCCGCGAAAGGTGATCTGGAAATGGGAGAATGATGAGTTACCATATAAAATGGACAACGTTATGACTAGAAAATGGTTGCCTC